ACTCTTTCACTGACTGCACTTGCTCGGGTACAAGCATTCAGGTTTTTTAGAAACCCAAGTTTGCTGTTAAATATGTTATTTTTTTTTTTATGATTTTTGGACCAGTTTGTTGTTTGTTTAACTTGTTCTGATGTTTTAAACATCTTTTATGCTGAATTTGTTGTTTCCGAGTTGTGCCTAATTTTAAGATTGGAATTCTTTTTAGGCTTTAAATAATAGCTTTAGGGTAGTTGGTGGCCAGTGGCAACTCATTAGTTGGTTGGTGAATTTTGACTTTAGGGAGAGTTATGGGTTGTTTATATTTATTTCCACTAATTAAGACTTTTATTAAAAAGAGAACTTTGAACTAATGATTCTTGAATCCTAAATCCAAATCCCCTCAAGTTTCAGATACAGGATTTTAAGTGATGAGGTGAGGACAGTTCAAAATGAATTAGGGAAGTGAATCTTTGAGTTTAATTTCCATTTACTATCATTTTAAACTAGCAACTAATGAAAAATTATCTCAGGTATGACTTTTAAAGTAATTATAAAGAAAAAAAAAATTAACAAACTTATCATACATGGATATTTGTAATTGAATGACACCGTTGAAAATCTTTACACTACCGGTGCGTTCTAGTTAAATTCTAGAAGAATAAAATGTACTAGGATTTAAATCAGCTCAACACAGTGCTCAGTGAATTGTCAGAATGTGAATATTCATCTTAGAATTCTATTTTTTCCCTTTCTGTTTAATATTGTTGTTTTTCATTTTTGTGATCAAAAGAATTTTTGTTATTTTTTTTTTTGAGTTCCTACCCTTTGCTGAGATTGTGCATGCCATACTGTGTTAACCTTGCAGGCTTTTGGGATGTTGGTAAAGTGGGAAGAAGCTTCTCGTGCAAATTTTTATTCTAAGGGACTCTAACACTGGTCAAATTTCAACTTCAATACTTCTCTCCAACCTAATCATGGAAGACCATTTTCCCCCAAAGGGAAAGGAAATTGGCTATTGCACATCTCCTGGAGTTCAGTTGGAGGAATCAACATCTGTAGATGGTGGAACGAAAAATTCAGTTTCAGATGACATGTTTAGCTACTTCTCAGAGCTAATGAACTTTGATACCTATGCTGGTTGGAGCAATAGCCCATCCTTGACTGATCAGAGTTTGGCTAATGTGTTTTCATCATTTTCCTCACCACCTGATGGATTGAATTTAGTGGAACATAGCAATGGTCCATTCTTTATGACAGAAGTTGGTGAAATTCACAATGATATGGAAAGTTCACCAAGTTGTGAGGAGAGAGTTATATTTCATCAAATGGACATCCAACTTGGGTTCTTAGATGATGCAAATAACTTAGATTCAAAACAAAATCATAATGGCACATCTCAGAAAATTAATACCTCAGACATGTGCAATTACATAATCTCAAGGTCTTCAGGAAGGTCACTTAATGATAGAATGCTGAGGGCCCTGTCCTCCTTTATGGAATCAGCTGATGCTGGAATGTTAGCACAAGTTTGGCTACCTATAAAGCATGGTGATGAATTCATCTTAAGCACAAGTGAGCAACCTTATTTGCTAGATCCAAAGCTTGCAGGGTATCGTGAAGTGTCAAGGGCATTTACATTTTCTGCAGAAGGAAAGCCAGGATCATGTCCAGGACTTCCGGCTCGCGTGTTTATATCGCATGTTCCTGAGTGGACCTCCAACGTTGGTTACTACAATAAAACTGAGTACTTAAGGTTGGAGCATGCAATGAATCATGAGATTCGTGGATCTATTGCTCTTCCTATATCTGATGAGAACTCTCAAGTGCCATGTGCTGTATTGGAACTAGTCACTACAAAGGAAAAGCCTAATTTTGACAGAGAATTAGAAATTGTTACTCATGCGCTCCAGGTGGATTTTTCTTTTGCTATTTCCAGCATATACTACAATTTTTTCTTATATTGAGTGTCTCACAAATCTTTGTTATTCTATTTGAGACTTGTATGTCTTATTACAAGGTTATCATGGAGAAATTTCTACCTTGCCTGACAAAATATCGTATTTTTTTTAAAAAAATATGTGATATACATACAACAATCTGATCAACATCGTTTTTTATGTCTACCTCTATCTATCACATCATTTATTGTACCTCCCACTTCTCTTTCTCTCTCTTAGTTGTAAAATTTGTTGGACATTTTGTCGTACAATTAACATTTTTCTTTTTTACATATTTGATGTTGACCTCGCAGTAGTTGAGGAGCAGTTGGGCTAGAAAAATATTTTCTCAGGATGTGCATAGTGTAGTCATGTTTCTGGTGATCAGACTAGGACTAGCTTGCAAAAATTGGAACAATAAATCATATATACTAATCAATTTCTACTCTATAGTCGTCCTGTGTATGCACATCCTATATTCATTAGTGTAGAAGTGTATCTTTTGTCTAATTGATTGAAAAACCTCTTCGATTGTGCTAATTTGTTTCAAAAGCATCTCAGTCAATTCAATTTTATGGAAACACTCCAATTACTAAAGTAACCTTTTTTCTATGTTTTAGATATTTCTTCCATATTATGTTATCATCAAAGGTACTAATGATAAATGCCCTTGTGATGATTTTATGCAGCTTGTAAATTTAAGGACTACTACGCCTCCACGACTTCTTCCCCAGGTATTGATAATCCATACATATTATGAAGACTTATCATACTGATTTTCCTCCACCATAAAGGCAAATCTGAGCTTTCTGAATTATGAGTGAAGTGGAGGGGTTTGAGATGTTTTCTTATCTGAATTTCTGAACTTCTTATAAGATTGGTTCTTTTTCTGCAGTGTCTATCAAGCAATAAAAGATCTGCTTTAACAGAGATAATTGATGTTTTACGGGCCGTGTGTCATGCACATAGATTGCCACTAGCACTGACATGGATTCCATGTTGCTACAGAGAGGGAACGGGAGATGAAACTGAGAGAATAAGAATCAAAGAGGGTCGTACAAGTTCTAATGAAAAATGTGTACTATGCATTGAAGAATCAGCTTGCTATGTAAATGATGGAGCGGTAAGAGGATTTGTTCATGCATGCGTTGAGCATCATCTTGTGGAAGGGCAAGGTATAGCGGGAAAAGCTCTTCAATCAAATCATCCATTCTTCTATACTGATGTGAAGACATATGATATTGTTGAATATCCCCTTGTTCACCATGCACGCAAATATAACTTGAATGCTGCAGTTGCAATAAGGCTAAGGAGTACCTATACCAATGATGATGATTACATATTAGAATTCTTCCTGCCTGTTAATATGACAGGGAGTTCAGAACAGCAACTATTATTGGACAATCTCTCAGGTACCATGCGGAGAATTTGCAGGACTTTGAGGACAGTTTCAGATGCTGAGTTAACAGGTATAGAAGGCTCTCAAGGTGGGTTTCCAAGGGAAAAAGTCTCGGGTATTTTTCCTTTGTCCAGGAGAAACTCTCAGATAACATTCATAAATGATGACCATGATTCGGTTCAGAAGATGTCCTTGAAGGTATCTAACCTGAAAAATAATGGAATTGAAGCTGCTCATAGCCAGGTACATCTTGACCGTATCCTTTATCCTTTGGCCCTTGTGAAATTTAATATGAAATGGATGTTTTATCTTTTTTTGAATAATCATGTTATTGATGCAAAGTACCCATGACTTGTTGGTAAATGGATGCTTTATTTGAGAAATAATTTGTTCCAAGTTATTGTGATAATGGAATACAAGGGTATGAAGTATTAATTGTCCATCACATTTCATTTAGTGGGATTTCCCCTCCCAACCGTGTTTTTTTCATTTACAAAACTCAAATAAAAAACTTAGTAAAGGGTCAAAGTCTAGTTTCACTCGAACCAAATGACTTATGGGTAAATGGATGCTTTATTTGAGGAAGCATTTGTTCCAAGTTATTGTGATAATGGAAGGAAAGTGGAGAAATAATTGATTGTCTATCACATTTCATTTATATTACGAAGGGAGTGAACTAGTGGAGCAAAAACTTGATGGAATTTATGCTTAAACTTTGTAACTTGTCAGTGTAATGATTTTAATGTGCTTTTAGAATTGAAATGTGATATCTTAGGAATTTGTCTTGTAGGAAATGAATGGATCAAGAAAGCAGATTGAGAAAAAGAGATGCACTGTGGAGAAGAATGTTAGCTTGAGTGTACTCCAACAATACTTTTCTGGTAGTCTGAAAGATGCTGCAAAGAGCATTGGTGGTGAGACCACATTTTTAAACTAAGTTTAATGTTCTGGTTTATATGAGGGATACTTGTCATTAATCAGATATTATAGTTTTAGTTATATTGGTCGATCTTCACCCACCATTTAATTTCATACATAAGTTCTGACAACTGCGTATTTCTTCTTTCTCCCGAAGTTACTACTTACTAGGGAAAATAATGAATGCAATTTCATTGATATTTTTTTTATGGTGTAATTGTTTCGAATGAAATATTACAAAGTGAGATAGGCTAGTGTAGTGTAAAACCTGAGTGGAATTCATTAATATCCTTGTTACTCTATGATTTTATCTTTAAAGAATATGATGAATATTTTTGAAAGGTAATTCATGTTAATAAAGACAGATTTGTCTTTAACAAACATTTCTTCTTTGAACAGTTTGCCCAACAACATTAAAAAGGATATGCAGACAACATGGAATTTCAAGATGGCCATCACGCAAGATCAATAAAGTAAATCGTTCATTAAAAAAGATACAAACTGTGCTTGATTCTGTCCAGGGAGTGGAAGGAGGGCTGAAGTTTGATCCTTATACTGGGGGGTTTATAGCCGGTGGATCAATCATGCAGGAAACTGAATCACATAAATATCTTCTATTTCCTGAGAAAAGTTCTGTGAAAGACCCTAAGCCTGCAACACAGAAAAAAATCTCAGTAGTTTCAGCGCCTGGTAGCACTAGTGAGAATTCAGCAATTAAGTTGGATGGTAATGACGTTGGTTTGGTGGGAAACCATCTTGTGCACTCAAGAAGTGTGCTAATATCTAGTACAAGTGAGGAAGAATTGAAGAAAAACAATGCGTATTCTGATGATTCAAAATCAATGGCCATGAATGATGATGGATCTTGCAAGAAAGCATGCCATTGGACAAACACTCAGGATTGTCCTGAACAAACTTGTTCAATATCCTTGGTTTCTGATGAGGTCGAAGTTGGTGCAGATAGAGTAGAAGGAGCTGATGAACATAACCACCCTACTTCTTCAAGAACCACAGACTCATCCAATGGCTCTGGCTCAATCATGCATGGAAGCTCATCATGCTCTCAAAGCTTTGAGAACCATAAGCATTCAAAAGTCAAGTCAACTTGTGTTGATAGTGGGTCAAAAATTATTGTGAAAGCTGGCTATAGGGGAGACACTATTCGTTTCAAGTTTGATCCATCCGCAGGTTGTTTTAAGCTATATGAAGAAGTTGCAACAAGGTTCAAGCTACAAAATGGGTCCTTCCAGCTCAAATATCTAGATGATGAAGAAGAATGGGTGATGTTGGTGAATGACTCGGATTTGCAAGAATGTACAGAAATTATGGATGACATTGGCACACGTTGTGTGAAGTTTCTTGTTCGTGATGTCCCTTGTGTTTTAAGCAGCCGTGACAGCAACAGTTGCTTCTTGTCAGACAGCTCATAGTGCATGATATCATGCATGGCTTTCATTGTGACAATTCAAAGTCTTAGGGTTTCCATGAGCACTTCTACCTGGAGAAAAAAATATAAAATAAACTTTTACATAAACTAAAATTATCTTACAAATAAGTTAGAAAACATATAACTGACACAAACAAGATTTTACACAAATTAACTTATGCATTTAGTTTTGAAAAAGTTTATTTCATTTTTTTAATTTTCTTCTCTAGGAAGTGTTTATGGTGAAATTTATCCAACCAGACCTTTACTTCAACAATATTTTGTTGACTTATCACATTCTTTTGTGGGTTTTGGTTCACACGGATTCTAAAACCATCCTGGTTGGAGGAGTTGGACTTTTAGCGACCAATGCCACACATTGCTGCCATTGGGTAAAATATTTTTTATAGTGCAATCTTCCAAGGTTGTTGTTTCCAGAAGATAGATAGATTCACATAGTAGCAGTAGCATTAGCGTGTTGAATATGTAGATATGCTAGATTAAAGTTGCATAGAAGTTTATGGTTGTAGGCATGACAGACGTATATATTTCCAGTTCGTATATATTAATTTGTCATTTGAAAATATGATCAAAAATTAGAGAGAGAATATATATATATATATTATTTATGCAATGTCCTAAAATAGACAACTAAAGATAAATTTGTCATTTAAGAATATATATATATATATACATTTTTAAAAATATATATTTACATTTAAGAATTAATCTTTTTTTTTTTTCTAAACTCGTTTTTAAAATATTGTTTTCAAATATAAGTTGCCTTTTAGAAAAAAAAAAAAAGAAAAAAAAAGCGAAAAACACGTTGAATTGGACTAATAAAAGTTGGAAGTTAGAAGTATGGAAACAAGGTCAACACTCTTTTTTGGGTATAGACCATGGTCAACGCTAAATACGAATTAGTAATTAAAGTATCATTTTTGTCTATTCTAAAAACAATAGATGAAATGTATACACCGTCAGATTCACTCCAATCAACGGTTGAGATATAGGTAGCCCAAGTAACTAATTACTATTACAAGTACTACGTATTAAATAACCAAAACATAACGCCACAAAACAATAAATCGCGTTGAATTGGTTTCTGGAAGAGCCTATGCATTTCGTTTGTAATTCGCATGGAGCCATCAAATTCAGGTTCAGTTCTCAAAACACTTCAATTTTTTTTTTCTTTCTAATTTGTTGATCAAATTGATTTGCATTGCCATGCATATTGCATGTGTTTCTTTTCGATATTCCTAATTATTATTATTATTGTTCTATTTTTTATTTGCATTTGGTGAAGCCAAGAAAATGAAAAAGGGTAACAGCAACCATTACCATTACCTTGTTCCTTTGTTCACCTGATTTTTATGGAGATTGTTAATGGATTCGATTTCATAGTGTGCCATCTATCGAATTTGGCAATTCTGGAGGTTCATTCAAATGAGATTAGTAATAACTATGTTGTATTTTTCTGAGCATTCTCAAAATAAAGTGTGATCAACAAGTCATTTGTTCAAGTAATATTATGTTGAGAAAATCCTATTAAAGATAGTTGGCCAAATTTTTTGATAGAAATTAATTATCGACAAAATGAGTAGATAATTTGTTTCAATAATATGATTAAAATAAAAATGTGTGTGGTTTGTATCAGCATTAGAGACAAACAAGAGAGATTTTAATTTGTGTTTCCTGAGTGGTGTAATGTGTGTATGATAAATTGATAATGAAATGTGTCCTTGACCCCTCTTCATGGAATTTCAAACAATTTAAATGTTTTGTGTTGCAGCTCCGCCAAAACCGTGGGAGAAAGCAGCAGCAGGATCAGGAGGAGCAGCACCTTTCAAACCTCCATCAGCAGGTAGAACAAGTGATGTAGTTGAAGCTTCAGGGACTGCAAAACCTGGGGAAATAGTTTCTGCTTCTGATAAGACAGCACCTGTCAATAGGAATGTTCTTGGGAGACCCCTTCCCACAAGGCCATGGCAGCAGAATTATGGAAATAACAGCTATGGAGGTGCTTTAAATTTTAGTTATTTCTTTTTTTTTTATATAAACTATATGTATCCTTTACTGGAAACAATTCTGTTCAAGCAGGTTATTTTAAATTATTTCTAGTGTCACATATTTGGCCCTATCCTTTCCACTTTTCCCTATTTTACTTATATTCTTTAATCTTTTCAATTGTTATACACAGGTTATGGTTCTATAATGAATTATAATTCTGGATATGGATATGGTGGAATGGGAGGTTTGAATGGCGGTGGAATGTATGGTGGTGGAATGTATGGCAACAGTATGTACAGGGGAGGATATGGGGGGTTTTATGGCTCCTCTGGGATGTATGGTGGGGGAATGTATCGTGGCTTTGGTGGTCAAATGGGTGGTGATCCTTATGGAGCTGCAGATCCCAATAATCCGGACGGTGCTCCTCCATCGCCGCCAGGATTTTGGATTTCTTTTTTACGCTTGGTAACTTGGTTACTTTTTTTCCTCATCAATTGACATTGGTTCTCACATTTTGGGTTACTATTTAGTATTTACTAGATCATGAAGTAGTATATAATTCCTTATTAGTGGCAATTTGTTTAATGCTTTTCTATTGTTAGTTTGGATATATATCAAATTCTCTCTTTTCGGATCAACCTTTTATTTAGTACAATGCGTATGTTTCTTGTATGTCATTGTGCAAGAAGAACCTCAGTCCTGTGTTTCAATGTTAGTAATAATCACAATTCACAAGTAACATTGAGGATTGAGCAATGTGAGGCTAACTGCAAAAGAAACTGGGACAGTGTTAATCTTCTTTGCTGGGATCATAGATCCATTATGAAACATCTTGTTTTTAGGAGTACCTGGTCATTCAATCAGCATCTGAAAAAGGAACATGTTATTAATGTCTTCTTTTTTTTTTTGTGTACTCTATTCACTGTTCTCATTCTAAACCATTACTTCTCTCTCTTTCTCCCTTTCCCCCGGGAATTTTTTCATATGAATATCGGTTTTTCTGTTATTTATTGTTGGAAACTTTGCATATATTGAAATAATTTCCCTATAAATTGCAGCTGCACGGCGTGGTTAACTTTTTCGGCCGGATTTCAATCCTCATTGACCAGAACACGCAGGCTTTTCATATGTTCATGACTGCACTTCTTCAAGTTATATATTCATCTTTGTCTGTCCGTTTTGTGTTCTTTTGTTCATTTGTAATTGTTAATATTTTACACTATGATCCTATGGCTAGTTTGAAGATCAAAGTTAGACTAAAATGAAATCGTCTACACCCAATTTCTATCTTCTGAATAGGGGGAATCTGAAAAACTTGATTAGAATTCAATTTTGACAAAATTAAAATCAAGTTCGGATCTGGTTTGTCCAAATTCAAAATCAGTAAAAAGTAACCTAGTGATTTAATCAACGCACAATTTGATTGATGGATGTGTTATTTTGTTTCACACAAATGCACTCAGTATACCTTCTGTTAGATTTATTTTAAATTTAATACATAAGCAGTAACCCATTCTATTTTTCCGTTGTTTGCTTTCTTTGCACAGAGCATGTTGCCAAATCTGATACATGCCAAAAGATCACTTATATTTTTCCCCCTTCCAAACGGTATGAATATTATTTTAATTCTATGTGGTTACTTGGTCTCTTGGCAGCTTTTTGATCGCTCTGGTCTATTGTATGGAGAACTAGCAAGATTTGTCATGCGGTTGCTTGGAATCAAAACCAAGCCCAATAAAATTAACCCTCCAGATCCAGATGGAATTCCGCACAATTCCTCTGTAAATAAGAACCATATTGAGGGAACAAAGTGTGCTCCAAGGGATTATTGGGACAACGTATGGGGAAATGATGACAAGAAATGATGTGAACTTGCTTTGCTGATAGAGTGAGTCCAAATACAATCTAAGGAATTGAGAAACAGCTGCGGCAATACAAATACAGATACTGAAGTTGTGAAAAACATGCATGCATATTCTGGAATTTTATGTTCCGTATGCGTTGCTTAGATTGGTTTGTTTTACGGGAAATGGAATGCTCTGGTAACAAAAGAGAATAGGCTAGTAATACATTTAGCTTCTATGCACTTTCTCTGAATTTCGTAGATGCTATTTGTATTTGTAGTTGTTTGTATTGCTTTGTATTTCAAACGTTGCTTAACCTTTTGGGGGTGACATTGAAATAAATAAGTTTTGAGCTGAGGAAAAATATAAACACTTATTTGATTCACTTGTCATTTTATTTTTACGTTTTAAAAATCTGATTTGTAAAATATTTTTATATTACCCGTAAATTGACTTTCATTCAAATTCTATAAAGTTTTGATATTATTTCCAAAACAAAGCCGAAAAACAGAAATAATTGAAAGATTTTCTGTCGTCTCTTTCTTCAAGTGCTATGTACAATTGGTCAAAGAGACAAACTTTTAAAAACTACAAATGTGCTCGTGTGCTACAAACTATCAGATGCGTTGGGGGACATACAAAATTTAGAAAGTAGAAAATTGTTTTTAATCTCAGTAAATCATATTGACCATTTGGTCTCTACATGTCATAGGTTTTTTTTGGTGTTTGTTTAACATTCTCATAAAATCAATTCTTTCAACCGTGAAAGTGTTCTAATATAAAAAATAAAAAATGTGTGGTTCAAATTTAATTGGATAAACATTTCAGTTATATAGTTTACAACGTGATGTTCAATTACTTGAGAAACACCATATTGCGTAGGAAGATTGTTTATAACTAAATAGGAAAATTGCTTCTTCAAAATTCCTGAGATAGTTTAATTAATGATATAAATAAATATTACCTCTTTCCTTGTCAGATTTTCAGAGATTACGATAGTGGTGAGTCCTTCCTTGAATCAAATTTTAGTAAAAATCACTGCGTTACTTAGAATTTTAGTCACATTCTCGTTCTTATTCTCTAGATAGATGACATACTTCGATCGTAAATTTTCTAAATTGTATATTTTTCAATTACATAGCATAGGAGGTTGAATTTAGTTTGAAGAAAATAAAATGCTAAACCTGCCTACTTGTTCATTTGTATCTGCCTACTTGTTCATTTGTATCTTGATGTTTTTATTTATTTCCTTGTATTTTCCTTACTAAATATTTTTTTTCCTTGATTCAATTGAATGGTAGAAGTTGATGCTAATTAAAATATAAGGCGGCTCCATCTTCTTGTTTGTCCTCCCTTCCTAAGGGTGACCTCTCCCGTGGGGGTGGCTTCATGTAATGGACAACCCTCTCTTTTCTCAACTTATGCCAATTATATCAAATCATCTAACTGGAGGAAGCTTTATCTCATTGATAGCCCTCTTCATGCACTGACGGCTCCATCTGACAGATAGCTCATTGGTGATGATGATGATAATAATAATAATAATAATAATAATAGTAAATTTTATATAACATACAGCAAAGTGCTAAAAATGGTAGCAGCTCAAACTATACATAAGCATCATATCTATCCCGGTCTAGAGCATTGGTTAGTGAGCTACAGCATGAGTAATCAGGTAACCTAAAATGATTCTTAAAAAGAGCGCACTGGTTGGGAGAGAAAAAAAAATGTAAAAAGGGAGTATTTTAGGGGATTAAATTTTATTATGTAATCCTTCCTTATTTACATAGTTTCCTTATTTAGGGATAAATGCATCTCTATAATAGGGAGAAAAGAGAATGTAATTTGTGTGACATATATTAATAAAATCATCACTTTCAACTAAAAAAGCTTTTCATACAATTCATCTCATTCCCTGCGTTGATGACCATTATCGAGCAAGTGATAACATTGAACCATTCCATTTATTTTTTCATTATTCAAAATGAAACAAGTCAAACAACTGAATATAACAATTCAGGTTCTGTATAAGGATATAGCAGCAGAAATATTAGGGGAGATTGGAGTTTTGTACTGCAGACCATAGTGTTTTACTGTTCAGAACCACTGAGCTATCTCAATATTTTAGACCGAGTAGACTTGGCTAATTAAGATATTATCAGATAACCTCTTGGCTTTTAAAAATCAGGACCAGAAAACATTCATTTTTCTATTCAAAATAAAGTCAGTACAGATGGAAGGTGCCAATTTGACTAATAAAAAAATCCATGTCTTTATCTTAGTAAGTAATTTTATTGAACACCACACCACATAATGACTGTTGCATAATAATAAATTGCAACTGATTTTATTCTTAATCAATGTCGCATACTAATGCATCCCAGCACATTGAATTTCAGACAAAAGTACACATTAATAGATAGACATTTAAATAAGGCAAACAACAAATATGTAATTGAAAATATTCCTCATTAGCTTATCACATTTTTTTTCTTTATTAACTGGACTCAAACTTTTACAATGACTATTTCAGTTATAGCAAAGAATTGATGAGACTTACAAAATTCCTTGGGGGAAAGCTCTTTCTGTCATGGCAAAAAATCAATTGAGACTTATAAAATTCCTTGCAGGGCACCAGCATAGCCCGTTTCAGAATATTTTTCTGTTTGAAGCTGAAACCCCGAATTTCATTATCATAAGCCCATCAACATCTTCAGTCTTTCCATGCTACTGCAGTGTCCAAAACACATGGATTACTCATACTTAAGAGACATAAATTTGACTTCTTCACTATTTCTATGCCCATGTAATCATCTAATATATTTCCTTTGAATATGAGTGGTACTCCACATTATGCAAATGAATAGAGCAAGTTATAATTTTTCAACTAAAAAGGTTTCGAGGAAAATAAAATCATTCAGATTACATACAATACTTTTTAGTTATTCCACCATATTTGAGGAATGTAACAAATACCTATCTGGAAAGGAAGGAATCAGCTCTTCAATTACTTGAACAAAATCTCTTGCATGTTTCCCAGATGGTGACTGCTCCTCTGCATCTGCATATAATAGAACAAGGGAATCAATGTAGACTGCACAATGATCCACAGAATGAAACAATCTTGGGTTTCACATAAAATTACAGTTACCATTGATCTCTATTTTGCACTGAACACATGCAAATAGAGGATTCACAAAAGACATTATGGTTTCCAGAAAAAAGATATAGTTTCTGTTTTTTGCTGAGACAAAGGCCATTTCATGCAATAACAATTAGAAAAAGTATACTAAAGGAGGAGACATAAAATACAAAATAATGTCAGATGAAAATTATATTTAAAATAATATGTGGTGGCAATATGATCATACAGTATATTGCAGGTAAATTTGTGGAAATAGTATAAAATATGTTTTGGTTATAATAGGTAAGATAGCATAAACTTTCAATACCTTCAACATCTTCAATGTGATTACTACCACTGAGGTATAAACTCTTGCTCAAGTTTAAATCTTGACCTTCAATTATGGCAAACTCTTTCAACATATGTCCTATGAGATTATATGCAAGCATACTCGTCTTATCACAAGCATCTTGGGCAGAAACATAGTGGTTCTTGCATGCACTGTACTTGGTGGGCATGGGATTTGTCTCCTTACAAAACAAATCAGCTATGTCTGTTGCTTCTATTTTAGTATTAGATTTAGGAAAATCATTTGTCTTTACAACATTTTCGTCCAATTCTCTTTCAGGTGAAAGAACTGAAGAACTTTTGTTTTTACAGGCCATAAATGTACTAAAATGCTCTGTGCTTTCTCCTTGGCATTGAACATGTAGAGTGTTGTGAACATTGGCTTCCAAACTTACTTTATCACAGTTATTAGGATGAAGCTGCTCAGAAAGACTATTCAATGGCACAAAATCCCCAATACTTTCTGCTTCATAAAATGAATCCATTGAACCATATGTTCCATTTCTGAATTGTATATCCTGAAGTTGACTATCATTCTCATCACTGTCGCTGTAATCACTTTCTTCTGGCTGCTCCAAGTAGGCATCAGTGAAGTCTTTATCAAATTCATCATCAGGCAACAAATCCAAAACAATTTGTTTTGTTGAAGCACTCATGTCCAGTATGCAGTCAACTTCTTCCTCAATATACTTCTTCTTGAATAATACATCGTGAATGCCGCTATTAGAACCTCTGTTAATAACATCTAGGGTCTGTGATAGAAATTCTGGAATACTATCCATATCATTGCACTCTAGAAGAAATTCAGTCAAAAAATTCACAAAAGCTGACCGTAAGCACCTATTTGATATTGTAGCCTTCGGTTCTACAAGAAGCTGTAAGTTTCTTAGCTGTGTCACTGACACTTTTTTCTTCACAGACCATATAGCATTCATAATATCACTTTGCAAGGACTTCACCTCCGGGGAGAACTGGTAAAATTCTTTCGCAAATATGTTATGACAACCAGTTGTCAATTTTAGTGATAAATCTGCTACAGCCATGGCTTTAGCTAATGGCTCTTGCAGCTCACTTTCTCTATCAAGTTGAGAAAGCATTTCCCTACTAATTTTCTTCACTAGCTTAATTAGATGGTCTCTTGCCCATCCATGCTTGCGGGGTTGTAACTGAGGTACTGGTGCTTTCACCCCTTTAAGTTTCCTACGCATTGAAATCAAGGTCTGAGAAGACAAGTTTTGAAGTCCATGCAATATCTGTACTACAGCAGCATGACAAGATTGGGATCTAAAAGCAGGCAAAGGCTCAGTCCTGTCTCGGAAATTCTGTGGATTGGTTAGAAGCGAAAAAATCCGTTTACGAGTCTCAAGATGATCACAACTTTTGCTACACAGAACACTTGAAACAGAACCCTTGATAACTTTTTTCAATTTGCAACGTGTTATTTCATACTTGAATGAGTCCCCAGTAACTATCATAGCAAGAAGGTAGAGGCCCTTGATAGTCAAATTATCAAGGCACGATGATATCAACCATTTCATGTTCGGCATTTGAATCAAATCCATATCATCTTGAGGGGCATGATTCTCTTGTTCAATGCGCTGCGCTCCAAAGGCGTCTTCAACACGAGTTCTTACTGACTCGTGAAATATCTGAAACGGTTATTAGATTATCAATAAATCATTTCAAAGGGCAATGAAAGTAACCATAGTTAAAATACAAGAAAGGAAATACAAACGCTTACATCATCTTCCCTAAGTAAAGACTCGGACAAATACCTAAAGACAAAAAGAAATAGAAAAGAAGAAACCCTCGTTAGAGTGAAAACCTAGTACCGAAATCATTGAACAAATAAGGCACTAACCTATTTTTGAAATATTTTTTCAACTTCTTCCTCTCAGATCTTGTGGGAGGAATGCCCAGTAACCACCTGCACCAAACTCATATTAACGCAATTAAATTTGATCAATATTTAGCACCAAACAAGCAGGAAAACAAAAACAAAATTGAGAAACAACATTGAGCATCTTACCTCCTCTTAAGCTTAATCTGTTTCTCTCTGCGCTTAAATTGCGAGAAAATTGATCGAGCGTCTGTTCTTTGAAACTTCATATTAAATTCTTGATTGATGAAGGAGTTGAAAGAGTTCAACCAAACCCTATTTATTATTGGTGCTTAATTTTAACTTTCCGAACCCTAACCCTGGAGTCCTGATACCCAGGACCCAAATTTTATTTGTTGGGAAAATAAGGAAAAGCAAAAGCCCACAACAAAAGAATAATAATAATTCAGTTGTTTTTTCGTCATAATCTGTACATATTTATACTAATATATAAAGAGATATATCTTACCATAATTACTTTGGTTCTCTACTTTTTTCCGATCATCATACTCTTTTATTTTAAAATATTTTTAAAAATATATTTTAATTAAATTTAAGAACTTAAAATTAATAAATCAATTATAATATTAATTAGATTAATATATTTTTATTATTTTAATGAGAATTGAAATTTCAATTACTCCATAATTTCTTTTAATGTTAAAAAAAACAATTTCCTACTTTCAAACGAAAAATAAACATTTCCCATCTAAATTTATGATTCAGATTTATTTAAATAAATCTTGATTATGTTTTTATTTTTCTAATTTTTTATGTTAAAATGTTTGCATAAAAAGTTAAATTATTTCACAAATCATTATTCTTTTATTATATTTATAAATAAGTCCTTGTTATTAATTTTTTCTAAAAAAAATTTCTAAATTCTTTTAAATAAGCCCTTGTTTACTACGAGAGGGAATCAGCATAATTGGTAGTCCTCATGACTTGTTACGTCGGATAAATATATACATCGTATTTATTTTCATATTTGTGTTGTGTGACTATCCACATATTTTTTTAATAATTACATATTATCATGAGTATTTATTTTTAAAAATAAATAATTTTTAAAGCATTTTAATAATAATTTTTATTTACTTTCATAATTTTTTTAAAAATAATAATTTAAAATTTAATACTTAAATTATCCGCGAATACATAATTTTTTTTAACATCTAGGAGAGAATGGGATTCTTATTACATATATATTTGTTATCAGTATTAACTAGATTTTGACATGTGCCATGCATGATAAAAACTTATTATATGAGTATTTTAAAATTAATTTTTGAAATTAAATGAAAACATATATAATAGAAGAAATCAAAAAAAATAATTATATTTAAATTGAGAGAAATCAAATGATAACATAGTAACTTTTATCAATTATTACATTATTCAATAATATTAAGTTTAATAATTATTTTTAAAAATTCACCGTTAGATTAAAAATTTCTTATTTTTAAATTATATATAATATATATATAATTTCATATTAATCTAAAATAATTTAATATCTCATTTATATTAAAATTGACATAATATATACATTTTAAAATATAATAAAACATATCAATTTGATTGCCTTTAAATTATTGTTAAATTTTAAAAAAGTTGACATGAATGTATAAGTTAATATAATATCAATTTTTATAATTGGATAAAAAAATTCACATTTAATATTAAATTATTGAGTATATAATTAAATTATAATTTAATATATATATTGTTATGTTTTGTTTAATTAAATATTGTTAATTACTTTTTGTACCCTCCCAGGTAATTTTCAATAAGAACTTCTCGGGTTAGGCTAGATAGAGACTAAGGATGGTAATGGGATCCTTTGGGGTGAGTAGTAGAATACTCGTACCTGCCATGTCAAATAAAAATCCATCTCATGCTTGCGTGGGTATCTGTTTAATGAGTATCCGTGAATTTTATAAATACATATGAGTATCCATAGATATTTATGAATTATTTTAAAAATTTAAAAAATACTATAAATAATTTTAAGTTTGTATTTGATGTTAAGTATATTGAAATATTAAAGATAAACAATTATATTAATTTTTGAAGTTGTAATTAATAATTATTTTTAAAATATAAAAATAATATAAAAATGTAAGATAAAAATATGAATATTTAAGTAATATTTTTTAGCGAGTACCCACGGATATGGATACTACCGTACCTATCCCCCTATTTGTAAACAAGTAAAAGAATACTTATATCTGTTTAAGCCATCTATTTATTATTCGTGGCAGATTTTATCTATGAATACTCACGAGTACGAATATTTTTGTCATCCCTAATAGAGACAAATAACTAATCGGGCCAATAGTAGAGCAAGTAAGAATCATAAACAATCAGGTCAATATTTATAGCAGGTCGAAATTAGTCCAATTCATATTTCTAACACAAAACAAATTAAGTCATTTTTAGAAGTGTATGTAGTATAAAACCAAGTATGTCAATCTCCTAGTCAATCGAAATTAGTTTGAAACTCTTTCTTAGTAAAAAAAATATTATCTTTAATATGATACCTAATAATAATAGGTAAAAATCTCCTAAAATTTTGAAATTATTGTATAATGATTGAATATAAACCCTTAACCCTAGCGCAAAGAGATAAAATACTCTTTAAATTTTGATTTTAGTTGAATGACTAGATTAACTCTAATATATTTTGTAGACCAAAATGTATTTAAATACAAATTTAATCTTCAATTTAAATTACAATTTGATTTTGTGTATGATGAGCAACAATTTATTTTACAAAGAAAGCATATGGCATTTGATTTAATTTTATTTAAAGATAATTTAAATTTAAAAATAAAAAAATTAATGTATGCATGTATTTTTTAAAATGATAAAGAAATAAAGATATATGAAATTTATTCCTTTAAATAATGGGATGAATACATTAAAAAAAATGAATATGGTAAGTTTTCCCCATTATATGCAATTTAAATAGATATGTTTTTATACCAAATTATTCATTCAAGATTTAAATATAGTTTTAAATCATGTAATCATAAAAGTATTGTTAATAATTTTACCTTTATATGATTGATAAGAAACAAAATAAAAAATGTATAATCAAACATTTCAATTTCATATTTTACCCGAGTGTTTAAATATAAAAAATAATAAATTAAAATATATACTTGATACATCAATGATAATTTTAAATGTTTGCCTTGGTTTAAAAATAAAGTAAACTACTTTAGTTATATATCATAAATAAATTCATAAGCACAGTTCATAAAACAATATAAATTAATTTTCCAAGGAATTTGAAATATTTTACACAAGCAAAGTTGAAGGGACTCGTTCAAAATTGATATTTCAGGAGGGTTACGAACCTAAGTAATAACTCGCAACACGTAAAACAACTTTATCTAATAATTAGCAGGCCAAAATTTGTAGTACATGTTGACTTTGAAACCGAACCGAAGCACGCTTAATTCTCTGCTCCCTAACTTCCCTCTCAAGCTTTTTAATCTATCAATGTTGCCCGTGATTCCACAATCAGTAGCACCATTTCCAAACACCATCTTACATGATGCTTGAATACCTGAAATTTGCTCCTTTAATTTACCTAATGTACATATGTTGCTCCAGGAGCATGAAATGAACCTTTCTATTTTCTTACATGGTGGTGGTTCCTGGTCTTCAAAATTCTTATACCTTAACGAATTCAAGTCGTAAACTCAAACCTCTGCTCTCCGCATTTTCTTATTCTGTTTGTCTTGCGCTCGGTATTTATCTCGTCTTTCCTCTCTCCGACGCTTTTTCGACAACTGCTCCTCTTTTGCTCTCTCTGCTTCAAGCACTTTCCTCTTATTCTCTTCCTTCAGCTTTCTCTTTTTCATCTGCACGAGGCTCAGATAACAGATCATATCAAAAGGCACGCAAAAGTAGAGCTTCACAATGGAAAAAATAAAGCTGCAGCAAATCTACGGTATTAAGTTTAGGCACCCTCAATTTTAATTAATAGACTTGCCATCAAATAAAATGGCAGAGATTTTTTTAGAATCGGAGTATAATTCCTAGTCAATTTCAGTCAGCTAAGAAATCTTGGGATATAAATTCAAATAACAAAAGCAAACAAACTATCAGCTGACATACTTACCTTCTCATTATTTATTAACTGGAGGTGTTGAACAAGAGCATGAACTTTGCGCTCTCGAGGTTCCATGACAACACCCCTTCCCCTTCTCTCTTCGAGTAAGGGTTTTTTTCGCTTGGGTACATCCTTAGGTTTTGATGCAAAGGGAAGACTTGCTTGTAGAGATTTGGGAATCACCAATGGATTGAACTTCCTAGGTTTTCTTTCAATTTTCTGCCAAAAGAAAGGTAAAAAGGAATAAGTAGACAACCGTAAGGAGGAAAAATGTTTCAAAGTGCATCAGAAAGGGGAAGGATCTATTAGTATCAAACTAGTCTAGAACATACCTTGTAAAGTGAATCTTTGTTTACAGGTATAGGAAGATTGTGTTCTCTTCTCAATTCTGCAACAGTTCTCATTCCTTTCCAGGTCTTGTCACGAGGCTGCAATGCTGTTGTCAATGGATTATAAAACTGAGGAACTTCCACTTGAGTCCATGCCCGCAGGAAAACAATGTCACTCATCAGAATTTTGTCTTCAAAAGTGCACCTAGCAATTCCTTCTTTGGTTTGCCCCCCCTTCCTTTTTGGTTGATTACCCAGCTCTTCTTTTACAGCCTGCCGGATTAAAGAATAACTTAACACAAAATAGATGGCAAACTACAAGTATCCCATTGAAACTGCCACAACAAATCATCATTATAATATATAAGCCATTGTCTAAAATTGACAATTCACAGACCTTCTTGACCTGCCCCCTGATCCCACTGACAGTCCGAATAGCTGCACCTTCAAACCGAGCTACTTCAAGGTCTGAAGTAAACATATCCTTGATAATTGCTGTCTTCTTGAATATCTTGCATGGATAACCAACCAATTTGATTTTCTTCACAATCCTTGCTGCATGATTAAACTCAAGTACAACTGCAGTTGCAGTAATCCTAAATGTAGCCTGATAAACAAAATACATCCTCTCAGGCACAGCAAAATTATGACAGGAATAAAGCAAAACGAAAAAATTACAAAAATAAACATCCCAAAGTTTGAGAGGACTTAAAGGAATGTACTGCCTACATGATTGTTTGATAAATTCTGAACAGCTACAACCCCAGTGTTGGGAGGAGCAAGAGGGCCCCAAAACATAGCAAGGCAATGCATGTGTTCTGGGGTGTATTTTAGCATGCGATGCCTTCCATTGCTATCCTCAATGGCATAAACTGGGGTTGTTTGGTAACGCCTCCATCCAACAGATACAATAATTGGATCTCTAGTCTTCAAAACTTTCTTGTGCCACCTGTGCCGCTTTAACCTGGTCTGGAAGCAAAGAAAACACAAAGACAAGAAAGTTTCAACTTCCAATCAACTTCACAAAATAAACTCAAGACTGCTTAAGTTCTAATTAACAATTAACACTTTTTAAAGGTAATTTCCCATCTCCTAAACAAACAGCTCATTACATTCCTTTCCTTACATATAGGTGGTCCGTGTTACCAACATTCACAAAACAAAGACGTTATTCTGTGTCTTTAACATCAGCAGTAAGTCCTACCCAGACCATCCTAGTATACAGCTATAAGCACTATTTCAAATTTAAATACAGAGTATACTCATTTTGATGCTCTACAAGTTTTGTGATTGTGACACAAATCTTGTCCTTGAGATTATTGCATCAAACAACCTAGCCAAATAGAAATCCCAACCAATTTTGCTTTGAATAAATTTATATTTCCCTTATAATATCACCCCCGGTCGTGGACATTTTTGGCATCCAATAGTTTTATTGACTTACAGATGTTTGTAACACTTGTGGACTTATAACCTATATAAAGAATTATTCTTTGAAAAATTCCACTGACCTGCATGTATCCAACATTTTCCTCCCCTATGCCAACGCCTCCAACCAATACTGGATGGTAGGGATCAAAGTATTCAACCATCTCACAAGGAACATCATGAACCTCCAATCTTAGATATGTCCCTGTTCGGAAGCCTTCTATCTCCAATCGGGTAGCCTCATCAAGATCATTGAGTTCAGCTATATTTATTTGTTTCTGGAGTTCAATCTCCTCTTTCAACTGGCAAAAACCAAGATTTAGCAGCCATTATATTATATCACATTGTAGTCGACACCTAATGTAAGCAATTTACCTTGTCAAAATAGCTACTTTCATTAGCTTGACCATGACGTAGCTTGCCTTCATTTTCATTACCAGCATCCTCCTCTGGTGATCCAGAGTCATCATCAAATGTGAATCAAAATTAAGGTAACAAAATATAGTGCCATATTACTCCCATCAATTTGCTTTTAATTTAATCAAGTCAGAATAATCACACAAAAAGTAGAAGCATCTCCTTCCAAATTGTTAACAAAATATAGGGCCTTGATGAAGATTTCTATGTAGTACATCCATCATTGAGTTAGCTTGGCTCCTAAGTCCTAATTATGGTGAAAAACATCAAGCATTGATAGTGATAGAAGAGAAATGACAAAAAAGACTCAACCAAAAGAAGCTCCACCACTAGGCCCAGGTCACAAGTGCAAGACAGCAATAGAAAAACATTAATTAAATTGGTAGATCTCTGGAGGGGTTTTTTTAGTGTTGGGGGGGGGGGGGGGTGTTGTTAACCTGCAGATAAGACATAAAACATGTATATATCTACCAATCTCGGAGTCAGAACCTTGAAGCAGTAAACGTGTCATTCCCCCTTATGCTGAGAAAAACATTAGTTTTGCAGGAGAGGGGAGTGGGGGTTATCAGAAATAAATGTTCATATTAAATATGAATATGAAGAGAGAGAAAAGGATATTGAGAATCAAATTTAGCACGAAGAGCAAGTTTCTTAAGCCTCCTTTCCTCCGCTTCCAAATCATTTCCCTTGTGTGTTGTTGCTGCAAAAGCATCATCTGTCTGATCATTCTCATGTTTTTCTCCTGTTTCCAAGTCTTCAAAGACACCATAGACATCATCATTTTCCTCTTCAGCATTAGCTCTTGGTAATGCTTTTCTGAGTGCTGCTTTTGCCAAATTGCCAGACACAAACCGGTTGCGAATCTCCTCATTATCTTTCTCATCCCATCTCTGATCCATAAATTGTGTACACTTGGAACAATCTTCAGTGTTGACCATTCCATCATCATTAAATCCATCTCTCATGTTTTGCTATAAATTTTAAAGACAAAAGCAAACATAGTTCCTTAGTTATGAAGCAAATAAAAACATAATCTGAGGGCCACAAATATACCAAAATGTACATTTCAAATGTTGCTTTTATAACTGTCATTAACAGGAAAGAAACATTACAAAGCAATAATTACGTGAGAAATTTGGTATAAGTCCTGCAAGATAGTAAAAGACCAACCTTTTTCACTTCTTCTATGGGTTTAAAGAAGTCATCATCACTTTCCTCATCCCCACTATTATCTTTCTCTCTGTTTATAGTGGTTGAACTAATAGTAGATTCACCATACACAAGTTGCATCAAACTAGGAGTCTTCCGTGAGAGTGTTCTTTCTGCCAAAGACTCTTTCCACTTGGAAGTATTGCTCGCGTCATCTTCTGAGGAAGATCAAGAAAGAAAAGTCAGAAAAAATATAAACCTCCAGTAACAAGTTACTGACTCAGAGAAATTAACATGGGATAAGAACATTGATGATTTACCAGTATTTACCAAGACCTAGTATTGAGCGCATGAATACAACACATTTATACAGCCAGATAAAAACAGATAAGACATAAATCTTAACAATGATAGGAAGAAAACTGCACCATTTGAGTCATCATTATTGTTGTCATCTTCCTCATCATCTTCTGAAGATTCTGAATCAGAAGATTCTACATCATCACTGGCAGCAGCATCCTCATCTCCTTCTGAATCCTATCAATGAGGTCAATCCAAAATTACAAGTATCCCAGTAGAGCATTATCAATGCAAACTGACATACATATCTTGTGAAACAAAAGTAACGATATTTTTTTTTTCATGCCCAGTCTGTAATTCAATGAGTTTTAGGCGGCCTACAGTTCAATGAGTATCCCAATAGAGCATTATCGATGCAAACTGGCATACATATCACATTAAAAAAAGCAAAAACAATTTTGTTCACACTGCAGTCAATAATTCCATGATCTTTAACTTACCCTAGAATTCAATATAAGCTAGAACCTATGTAAACAATCTAGTTTCATTTCTGTGGGTACAAGTGAGGCATGAATTAAAAAACAAACACATGCTTAAAGCTCACCATCAGATCACTTTGATCAACATCATTTCCAAATACTGCTCTTCGCCTTTGTCTTCCATCATGAAACTCAATATGTTCTTGCAGGTGGTCTCTGTTCACAGCATTACTATTTGGTGCATCATCATCTTTGTCATCAGAACTAGAGGCTTCGCTGTCTGTCATGGAGTCATCATCCTGATCAGATGATTCTTTATCCAAACCCACTGTTTTGACATTCTGTTCTACATCCTTGTCTGTGCCATCTGCATCAGCTAAAGCTTCTGATGACACTTTTGGCTTTTGACCAAAAAGATTGATAAAGCTGTTCTCTAGTTTTTCATTGATTGAGTATTTGGTATTTTGTAGTGATTTCACCAAAACCTCCCCTATATCTCTGTCCTTTCCTGTCAAGAGCATGTGAGAAAAAAAAAATTAATTAAAAAAATATTAGAATAGGGAAGAAATTGAAGTAAACCATATACACTATTGGTCATGCACAATATAACCTGAAAATGTTATTGGTAATTATATTATATTAAAATGATACAGGTAAAAAAGGAGTACCAGAACTGGCACCATATGATCATAACTTGATTTCACAAAGAAAGATAAAATGCATGAAATATATTCTATTCTGCCACCAAATGACCACAATATGATTTAATGAAAAGGGTAAAGAAAAGGAAACCATCTACCGACCTTTACTTGTCATAGCAGAGTTTTCATTATCAACTTTTGAGAATTGAACAAGGTGGTCATTAATATTTATGTAAACAGCATCTTTGTCATACAAGAGATCCCCGAGGCCAGACATGGGAGCATAGAATAATTTTTCCTTGTCACGAAGTCCTTTCTTTTTTGCGGCAGATGGGAGAGGACAAGGATCAGGCAAAGCAGTAACACCAGCTAAACTATAATCACCCACTCCAGCTATGTGCACCTGATTTCCAAATACCAAAATACGGATTAAACTACCAATATTTGAGGGCGCATAAACATAATACACCCATGCCATAAGTTCATAACTGAATTCCTTTTTGTGTAATATATATATATATACACACATTCAAATCTCTTAAAGAGGAGGAAAGAGTTCTTGGATATTTCAGGGGAAATGGTCACTGGAGTGCATAAATAAAAAATAAATTAGATAATTAGTAGTTTGATAAACATGTATCAAATAAATGCAGATATTTTGAAATTAAATTTAAGCAAAATTATTATGAAAAATTAGAGAAAAAACATTAAGATTTAAGATCAGAATCACATTGATATCATTTCCCCCTTTTTGACTAATTGGTTGCTAACAATCAGTAATGCAAACAGAGTCAACAGATAAAGCATGCATTGTTCAAGTTAAAACAAGAAAACACTCTGTGAACTTTGAGCTAACTATAACATGAGGAATATATCATCAAAAGCTATTGCTCCGAACCATCTCAGGTATCAATTGAGGATACTATCCCCAGTGCATTCTTCCAACAAGCTCTAGATTCAGGCAATAATATTTGTTTTTAGTTTCAAGTAAAGGCAATAGTATAGCAGAACTGTTGAACACACCTTATTGCCCTTTTTCAAATTACATCCTCTAAGATAACCGTAAAGGGTGACTTTCCTGTCGCATTTATTATTTGCATGCACTTTTTCAGGAGGAGTGATGTCTTCAAAACGATCTACCAAAACATAGGGGTGGGAAGTCCGCCAAGATAAAGGATGAAACTTCATGACTGAAATAAATCGAGCAAGATTGTGCACTTCACGCTTGACATACCTGTTAAATAAAGGAAAGGCAGTATTATTGAGTAAAATTAGTAACAAAGCTTAGCAAACACTATTAAGCATTAACTAGCAGGTATAAAAGAAAAAACTGTTTAATAACGAAACAGATTTCTGGGAAGAACTTACTTTCCATGAATAAGACCAGATAAGTAGAATAGTTTAGCACCGTCATATATTTCAGTCCAAAATCGGTGTTTGAGTCGTTGTTTTGTTTTCCTCAACTTTTTTGCATCCTTGAATTTGTCAAGATGAGTGAGAACACCCATGACCTTTGGGAATCCATGAACTTGCAATATATTAAGGAACTCAAAGGTTTCCTGCAAGACAAGTAAAATCTCAAAATACAGTATCCTTATTTTATAAAACCAAAGCCAACCTAACTTCCTCAAAATCACACAGTAGCACAACTTCACTAGTATAAACTCATGCACAACCCTATCATCATTCACAAATAACTCACCATTTCAAAACCATAACTCCCATCTATAAGAAGAAGCGCTAGATCTGCGAACTTCGCCGCATCTATCATGCCATTGATATCATTCGGACATTCCACAAACTGCAGCCGCCTTTGCTTCCCTGAAATGTGATACAAATATCACCGTAAACCAAATCCAAAGAAAGTGAGAAACTCGCATTTATCGATGAACAGGTGGGAAAATGTTACAGAAAAATAATCACAAACCTGACACGATAGTAATTGGACCTCGAACATCAGGCAAATTTTGCTTCGTGTAATGCTTAACCAAAGACTTGATCAACAGTGACTTCCCAACCTGAAACCAAACCAAACACACGAAACAGTGTAAGGCGACATTAGCAACAAATTGCACTGAGTAGCGTTAAGCTTGAGTGAAGGAGAAGCGAAGAGGCACCTGAGGAGGACCCTGCACGACGACGACGAATGGAGCGGGCTCGCCGTATGAGCGGTCGATTATAGGAACGTGGAGGCGGCGCTGCTCTTTCTCGACGGCGCGCGATTGCAGGCGCTTGGCCTTGTTAGAGGAAGAAAAGGCGAATGCCCTAGGGTTTTGCCTTTTCGGATCCTCTTCTCCGCCATCGGACTTCTGCTTCTGCTTCTGCTTCTTCTTGGACTTCTTCTTATCGTGTTTGGCGCCGGATTGGCGACTCCTGTGAGCCCTGTTGGACTGATCGGCGTCGTTGACGGCCATGGAAAGAGGTTGCGGAACTCTCTCACCAGTGAGTTGGTGAGGTTTAGGGTTTATCAGCTTTAGTTTCAGAACGGTAATGGCGGCAACGTCATGGTGTTTTGTACAATTGTTAGACCCGGAAACCTACCCATTTAATTTACCCCTTATTATTATTTTTTTTTTAATTTGCTATATATATACATTCTGTTCCTGAAATTAAATAAAATGTGAATTCTAATACAAATACTATTAGTGGATTAAACAATAAAAAAATATCATAATTTAAATAAAATAAGGATTAAACACGACATAGAAAAATATTATAAGGCAAACTTTACTCATCAAATCAAATTAGTCTAAAATAAAGTTTCTAGCTATTGGTGTAATAGTAAAATCAAAAAATACAAAAATATAATATGGTTATAAAATATAATATAATTTTTGTTTTATTTTTTATAATACTTCTTTATATACCATTTTTTTTAAACACAATTTATTTTCTTCTTTACAAATTCAAATCCTTAGAACACATTTTGAATTTGTTTGAAAAAACTGAAAAAATTAAATTATTTTAATAATTGATTATTAGTATTATATAAATAAATATTCGTTACTGTAAGTTTGATTAAAAATGATTTTGAAACATATAATTTCGTTAGAAGTAATAAAAATTAGACTTTATATAATAAATCTGTTTTAAGAGAAAAAAAACCATTAGAAAATAATTACAAACTTTAAATTTTAATGTTTATGGAAAATATATTTTTCAAAAAAAAAATATACAAACTTCAATTATTGTTCCAAATAATTAACTTATTTTATAAACCCTTTTTATATAAAAGAACCGAAAGTTAAGAGAACTTTATTTTTCCAAACACTAATATTCTTTACTTGCGAAACTACATCATGAAATTAACTAATTAAGAATGCAAAAATATAGATTTTGATAAATAAAATCAAACTATAGTAGAAGTATAAAATTTCTTTTATGTCGATCAACATTATTTATACAATAATTAATAATTAATTTGTATAGTTGATTATTCAGATATTGTTTTAATATAAAAAAAACTTAAATATGATGAAACTACCTCTAATTAAACTGGTTTTTAGATTATTATTTATTATTATTTTTGTTTTAATTACTTGATTTTTTTTTTCAAGTATCTAACGTTGGTCTTCCTCTGTTAAGTGATGAGGTGGTTAACAGATTGTCACGTCATCGTCCAACAGTGTCCTGCCATGTCATTTAAAGGACTGCCACGTGGACATTTAGATGACGTGACAAACACTGTTGGGTGATGAAGTGACAGCCCGTCAGCCACGTCATCACTTAACAGAGGGGACCAACGTCATGTACTAAATTAAAGAAAAAAAATTAGTCAAGTATTTAAAACAAAACATAATATATTAATAGGTAGTAATATGAAAAATTGGCATAATTAAAGGTAGTAATATGAAAATCAACCTAATTGGGGATAGTAATATGAAAATCGTCACTGAATGACAACCTATTTTGAGACCATCATATTTCAATGGTATAAATTACACTGAGTGGAAGGAGCCTATGCGAATATTCATACAATTCGTCGACTTCAAACTTTGGTTTGTCATAAAAAATGGACCAAAAATTCCAACAAAGATAGTGGACAATGAAGAAGTGGAAAAAGTGAAGATTAATACAATGAAGACATGAAATACTTGTAATTAGAAGCAAAAACAACAAATGTTATGCCATGAATTAAGATATTTTTGCAAAAAATTCAAGTGCGGCTTAAATATATTTAAATTACCTTCAATTATGTTAGTTTTCAAATTACTACCTTTAATTAAGTTGATTTTCAGATTACTACCTTTTAATTTATTATTTTTTGTTTTAAATACCGGACAATTTTTTTTTTAATTTAGTATTTGACGTTTGTCTAATTGTCTCCCTTTCTTAAGTGATGATTTGGTTGACGAACGGTCACATCATCACCTAACAGTGTCTGCCACATCATCTAAATCTCCACATAATAGTTCTTTAGATGACATGACAAACGTTATTGGTGATAATGTGACAGTCCGTCAACCACGTCATCACTTAATAGAGGAGGACTAACATCAGATACTAAATAAATAAAAATAATTTAAATAATTTTTTTAATAAATAATAATTTAAAAACCACTCTAATTAAAAATAATTTAAACATATTTAAACTTAAATAAAAATTGAATATGAAAGCACAAAGTCAAATCCTATCATATAACAAGCTAAAACTATATCTTTAGAATATATATACTTTATTTTTGATACATTGGTAATAATGGCAACACGAGTAATAATTACATTCATTAATAAAGTTCTTTAATCATTAACCAATAGGATCAATTGCTGGTAGAAAAGTTATTAAAAAAAAAAAAGCTAGTGACAGAGAAAAAAATATTCATAAAAATTGAACTTGGTGAAAAAAAATATAATAATTCACCCGACTTCCATATTATTGAGAATTCAAATAATATATGTAAAATCTTGTAATTTAATAATGTCATTTTTGTCATAAAATAATAATTAATAATAATAAGATTTCATTTCAAAAATCAATATATGATGACAACAACACAGGTGAATATAAAGTGATATAGTGACACTTTTGGCATTTTTGGCAAAATATGAGACCATAGACAAAGTTCAAAGTAATAACAATAACAAAGCAAAGACAATTTAACAATAATAAAATGTTCAATATTAGTGTAATGGGTTTTGAGAGAGTAATAAGTGTAAGATTATTTATTATTGTAAAACTTAGACAAATCTAATCACAAGTAAAAGTGGTGCACCATATACAACACCTTAAATTGGTGCATCATAGTATTTATCTAATATTTTATCTTTAATTATTTTTTTGTACAAAGCTAAAACATGAAACTTAACACATAATTGATTAAGAATATCTATTATAATATTTCTCGTGTCTTGTATATAAGAAGTACTTTCACATATTAAAAAAAAACAAATAAAAATGCTATGAAAATATTATTAAGTGTACTTTCTAACTTTTACAAGAGCATTGAAATTATTGCAAGTACACACAATGTGACTAGTGTAGACAAATAAAAAGAATTGTTTGAATATCTCTTTCCTTTAGACTCGTGTTATCAATTATTATATATATAATTAAGGTAAAATGAACTTAAGTATAAGAGTTTTACTTTTATAAAGCAACATGATAATAAAATATGTGTAACCAACGAGAGGTTAGGTTTAGTGATAATGTGATATCCACTATTTTCCTTCAACTTAGCGGTTATCCTTCTCTCAATCAAGCATATTCTGTCTCCAAAATAAATACAAATTACAGTTCAATTTCAGACATAAATGTACTAAATTAAATATAAATATCAGGTAGCGTCTTAAAATATCTTTCAAGGGTTAAAAATGATATAAAACACAAAAACCGATTCCTTTAGAAGGACACGTGTCTCTTTATTAAACAAAAAAACATCTGTCAAGGATTAAAAATGAAATAAAATATTTTAATTTCTTAAGATGTTATATATATATATGTATATATATATTATTTTTTAATTATCTAAAACCAAATCAAATGTTATTTAGTTCACCTTTTTAAAATAATATTTCTATTTTATTCGGTGGGTTACTTCTCATTTTTTCTTCCTCTGTTCGTACCTCTCAATTTGTATCTCTATTTTCGTCTTTTATTATATTTGATTTCTCTCGCACAATAAAATAATGCATTTGGTCAAACGAATGCGCGAAAAGGTTCCGTCAGAAAAGAATTATACACAGCGATTACGAAGAAGAATTAGGAATTAAAGAGATTAGCGATGTGGTTTCGCGAGTAACAAGCACGATTAGTGCAAGTGAGAATGTTAATTTGGCGGTAATAGATGATGTTGATGGATGAGTGTTGTGTTCGTTTCTTTCTGCAATTCCCTTCCTTAAGCAAAGCGCAGTAGCTGAAACGAACAAGTGTGAATCGAACGAACGAACGAACACTACCAGCATGAACAAGCGGCAACAAGATGAGCGAAACATAGCTACCCTCGACTCCAGATTCAATCAGACGCTCAGAAATGTTCAAGGGTAAGTAAGTGGGTAACCCTTCAATTCCTCTATTATTTCTCTTCTCAGATCCAGAGTAACACGTGCGTTATTTTTTATTCATCCATGTTTTATACCTTTGTATCTCATAACCGATTTAAATACTATTGAACTCTGACACTTTTGATTTTCTTTCTCTTCAGTACATTCATTAATTGTGCAATATTATTAATTTTCCCTTTAAATTTTATATTCAGTTAAGCAGTTTCACCTTCAATTAGAATTTCGAACCACTAGGTTGGCGTGGGTTTTGGAGTTAGTATCCGCGAGTTTCTAGATTCTAGGTTCAAACATGAGTGCCACCATTGTATATAAAGAAGAGTTTCACCACCTACAACTCGAAGCTTAAAGCACATAGCTTACTAGCTTAGGCTAGGCTCCGTTTGGAAAATAACTTAATTAAGGTTGTGCTCGGATAAATTTATCTATAAACCCTTGCTGGGAAAGAAAATTAAAAAGTAGAATGAATTGATCAATGCACCTCAACTTTCAGAGAAGTTAAATGAAAGAACTTCTATAAAAGTTAAGTATATAAGTCAATTTTAGCTTATGAAAAACCTTTTTTTTACCTCCGTATCTTTTTCAATTGTAATTGTTTATGGAACAGTTTATCCAAATAGGTTAACCTAAATGTTTATTGAATAAGAGTTTGTTTCGATACAAGCTTAGAAGTGCTTTTAAGAGTTTTTTTTTTATTGAAAATAAAGTTTTTTTTTTTGTTGAAAAACTCTCAAAAACACTTTTAGCTGTATAAGTTGTTTTTAATCAAAAAGTAATTAAACTATTTTCATGTATGTTAAAGAGCTTATTTAAAGAAGCTGAAAATAAACTTTTTTTTTAATAAACTCTTAAAAACACTTGCACACTGCTTATGTCATAAGATAAGTACAAATAAATTATAAATAAGTTCTTCCAAATTAATAGTTGCAATTTATTCTGTGTTTCCTCTTTATCAAGGTTACTCCAAGGTCGAAGCATGCCCGGTAAAATATTATTGAGCCGTAGGTCAGACCCTCCAGATAACTCAAACTCAAAGATATCCTCACCAGATTACAGAAGGAGCTTTTCCCACAATGATGCTGGCACAAGTAATCACACATCTGGGGCAGTAGAGGTGATCTTAGTATTATTCATACCTATATCATTTTATAGCACGTCTCTACCAGACTGACATAATTGGAGGGGATCAGTTCATCAAGTGGGACTTCTATTCTTGATGCAGGAGGAATTTCAGAGTACAAGCAAACCAATTAGTACTGCCAATGTCAGTAGGCTAAAATTGTCAACCTCCTTTGGGGGAAGCCCGCCTGAGGAAATCCGCAAGTCTACCATGGGTGCTAGAGCTACAGATTCTGCTAGAGTTATGAAGTTCACTACGGTGCTTTCAGGGACAGTGGTTATATTAGGTATTTTAACTTTCCATAATTCTGTTTGTGTCATTCATTGGCTTCTTCCTTGTAACTCCTACTCATCCAGTTGTGGAATTATAATGTGTGTGCTTATATGAGCATACCCACAATGTGGTTGCTTTTTTCCCTATAGATAATTTTGGCAGTAAGGTTCAAAAATAATTTGCAACCGAAATTGAATCATGCCCATGATATCATACATAACTTGAGTTTTCTCTTTTCCTTTTTTTAAGCCATTAAGCCTTTTGGAAACCTGGGGTTATCTACCACGATAAAATATTTCCTCCTTGAAATCTATATTGTAGACAAGTTGCGTGAATTAGCTTGGAGTGGTGTTCCAGACAATATGCGTCCTAAAGTGTGGAGACTTCTGTTGGTAAACTCTATGACCTTCAGTTATTTCGCTTCTCTTACTCTAGCGCGATGATAAGGAGATTTGTAGGACGTATAAGAAATTTTCAGGTCTTTGTGGATTCTTTTACTTTGGTGATGCCTTAAATTAAACTTTTATTCATGGAGGGTGAGCCATGGAATTATTCTTTCACAATAGATCTAGATGTTGCTTACATAAATGTTTTGCAATGAGACTACACAGAAGATTTTAGGACAGAAAGTTGAAGTGGTTTATACTATAGAGAATCATTTGAGTAAGGGGTCACATTATTGACCCCCAGTCTTACATGTTTTTATGGATAGCATTTTGTCTTCCTGGAAATTTAATATACTGACAACAGGGATATGCACCAACTAATTCAGATAGAAGGGAAGGAGTTCTAAGAAGGAAGCGCCTTGAGTATCTTGACTATGTTTCTCAATATTATGATATTCCTGATACAGAACGTTCAGATGATGAGGTCAACATGCTTCATCAGGTATTCTCAGGTTTAATATTTTCCTATTATATTATTCATGAAAATACCTAATTTTTGACTGTTGTCATTGTATATTTGTTAGATTGCCGTTGATTGTCCCAGAACTGTACCTGAGGTTCCATTCTTCCAGCAACTGCATGTTCAGAAATCATTGGAACGCATTCTTTATGCATGGTTAGATATTGCTGTTATGCATTTGTTGGTCAGATATTATTCTTAGTCTAGTGTTCTTTGTTATGGATATATCTTTTTTTTTAAGTTGAAAGATGACTCTTAGCTTGGCTACGAAATTCAAGCAGTGTAACTTCCTTAGAATTTGTGTACCCAACAAATACTGGTACTGGATATGTATCCATTACATGGATGTAACAACCATTTGAGCCCATACCAGTTATAGAAGTTGGAACTTATACTTGTTTTTTGGGTACTGTTCTCAATCTAATATAAAAAAGTTGTGTGGTAATGTGTTATTGATCAAGGTTAGAATGCGTTTCGAAGTTGCTACATCTCCCTTAAGTAATCTGTTAACTGTTTTATGGTATTGAATGATACTCAGGAGGGGCCTTGGGAGGGGCATGGTCACTCATTCATTCTAAAAATGGTTTCACTGTTAGATATCAGCAAGGTGGTTGGTTACGTTGTGATGCATGTGTATTGTGTACTACATATTCAGAAGACGATGTTTAAAATAATTAATATAGTCTTACATACTTCTTCTTTCTTCTTAGCAGGACTTTTGAGCAAAGATTTTTTGAAAAAAAAGAAAATACACTTGAACCACAATGGACCTTTCTGGTCTAGCTTTCCCATTTTAAGTTTATTGTTCTCAGAGTGATTTGTACTATTAATTATGAAGAGAAAGTACTAGAAAATATAGGGCTGAGAAAAGTAGGGAGAATTGAAGAATTGAAAACTGAATTTTGTTTTATGATATTATTAAATATCAATGGTAATACAAAGGTGATTAAGCTTTATACAAGACGAAATCCTAGTGCTGATCATCAAGAACTTGGTATAACTGTCAGCAGTCAATAACAGAATGACAGCTGGATGAGACTAAGCTTGGCTTAGAAGCTGATGTAGATACTATGTTTTGATTATACAATAACAATCATGCAGACATGAATTGTACTGGCTTCAGTCTTTATCCATGATATATACACTGAAGCTCTTTAGTCCTTGTTATTGACTTACAAACGTGTTCTAAATTTGTTCTTTTATTTTATTCCACTAACATAATTTCCCAATCTTTTACCAGGGCCATTCGGCATCCTGCAAGTGGATATGTTCAGGGGATAAATGATCTTGTTACACCATTTTTGGTTGTTTTCTTGTCAGAACATTTAGAAGGGGGTATAGATAATTGGTCAATGTCTGATTTATCTTCAGATATAATCTCTAATATAGAGGCTGACTGCTACTGGTGCTTGTCAAAATTGCTTGATGGTATGCAAGACCATTACACATTTGCTCAACCTGGAATTCAGAGGCTTGTTTTCAAGTTGAAGGAATTGGTCAGGAGGATTGATGGTAACCTTTTTCTAAGGCCTTTTGTTTTCCTTCAAGCATCACTATAAATTGCCTCATCACTTTTTATTGATTTGGTACCATTTCTATTCTTAAGTTTTGTTTTCTATTTCGAAATAGTGTCAATGATGCTGAATTTTAGCAATATTATTTGTGTTAAATCTTTCAGATTTCACAGGAATCTTCTTTCTCAGTTTGTTCTTGTAGTGATTATGAAGATATATTTGGTTTGTTATAATGTTGTCAATTTTATATACTTGGTAGTATATATCAGCTAAACTACCCTGTTTGCTATAACATTAATAATTAGTTTTGAGTTTCTAGAGTAAAAATACTCTCATATTTTGCACCATCGATGAGGGCAAAGAGAAGAATATGAACCACTGAAGGCTGAAGCTGAGAACATTTAAGAACACGGAACATTACTGATTTACTGGTTTACCCTCAGCCCTAGAAATAGGTGTATGGATAGCAATGTAAAAGAAAAGAGACTTTGAAAACTTTATGGGGTTCATATTGTATATGTTGTAAAGCATCCGCAATGCCACCTTAAATTCTTCCTATTGTAATTCTTTAACCTAAGACATGTAAATGATTTTTCTGGTGTTTGTTTGTAACTAATTATGATTATGATTAAAAATCTCTGTTTATTTTGGAGAGTTTTCCTACACAGAAGAGTATAATCTGTTTGGGTGTCACAAGGGCTTGAAAAATTCAACTAGATATTTCTTACCTATTTGTTTTTACATTGAAGTGTCAAAATTTGATCCTCATCTTATGTGTCCATCGGCTAAAAATAAGGAATTCATAGAATGAATTACCGAACCTTCCCCCCTTTTTTTTTTGTTGTTATATTATTATTTGTATGTATTCAAATGTAATCTGATGTGCCCTAGTGAAACTTTTGATCTGCACCAGAGCCTGTTTTGCAACACGTGGAGGATCAGGGACTTGAATTTCTTCAGTTTGCTTTCCGCTGGTTCAACTGTCTTTTAATCCGTGAGGTTTGCTCTGATATTCTGTTCTCTTATTAGTGGGATAGTTTTCTCAAGAGCATATATAATTGATAACATGACTGAATTGAAACATTGGTCTGATAAGTTTGGGATGATTTTATGCCTTTTTACTAATGATGCCTGATTATATTATTAGATACCATTCCATCTAGTCACACGCCTTTGGGACACATATCTAGCTGAAGGAGATGCCTTACCAGATTTCCTAGTATATATATCTGCCAGCTTCTTTCTAACAGTGAGTAAGCTTACCCTGGCGTTTTCATATAATCTATCTGAATTAGATTTCATGTTGTAGGCATGTTGATTGCGAATTGTCTTTGTTGGTCAGTTTGTTAATGTATATTTTCCTAAACTCTTCTGGCACGTAGGATAAAGCTAGGCATGCGTTGCATATTTCTTTGCCATATCACACACTTGTCTTTTGCTTTAGCACTATTTTAAACCACTTAAGATAAATGCCTTTTGTAGAGATGTCCTTCTTTGCATTAAAATTGCTATGATTATTTCCAATGTGCATTAAAATTGCTTTACAAGGTATGGAATTCTAGCATTGCTGGTCATACCCGTATTTCTTGACTGTCTACTGCCACCTCTAAGGACATAATCTTTTATGAATTTCTTCGTTTCTGTTGAATTTATGCATGGTTGCCTAGATTATTTACACGTTTTTCTTGCTTTTTGGCAATGATTAATTTACTAGAAAGTGATTTTTCTTCAAAAAATTTTCCCGTTAGTGGTCAGACAATCTCCAGAAACTTGATTTCCAAGAATTAGTATTGTTCCTTCAACACCTTCCAACACAAAACTGGACTCACCAGGAGCTCGAGATGGTGCTTTCCCGGGCATTTATGTGGCACAGCATGTTCAACAACTCTCCAAACCATTTAGCTAGCTGAACATGCAATTGTGGTTTTCTGAATTTGGTTCTTTAATTTTTCCTTTTCTCTGTCTTGCTTTCTATCACTTCTGCTCTTGCTCGGTGTGTGGCTCTTTTTGTCGATGAACTAATTTTTTAACCAATTTTACTTGCACGTTGCCTTGTAATATTTTGTAAAGGATAGACGATAATGATAGATAGAGTCTATTCTTGTTGTATTAACTATATATTTTTTCAGAACTGCAATCAATACCCAGTTTGTGTATGCAATTTTTTTAATCGATTCTTGTACAAATTTAACATTGGCGAATTCTTGTACGGAAATGCTTGTTAACACGAAATAGCATTCGCGAATTTAACACCAATAAATCCCATCCAAACGTCATACATGGCTGCGTGCCCAACATAGCCGATGCATACTCTGTTCTGCAATTATTAATGTGTGTCTGAAACTGAAAAGTTCCCCGTTTGACTAAACCCCCACGTGGGACAAAGATTTCGTCTCTCTTAGCAGATAATCCGACATAAACTATCAATAGCGGCTTTACTAGTCCTATTGGTATAAACCATAAGGATGATTTTCGTGATATTTTTGAACTCAAAACAATGTTACGCAGTATAGCTATGAAATTTTGTGCTTATTTCTCAAAAGAATTAACAATTGTAGAGAATGGTGAGAATAGGGACAAATGAAAATGAAGATTGATTGCGTTCAATCAAAATAGAATGGACAACCTAATTTTATTCCTCATCCACTTCAAGCCCCGGGATATATTCCAAACTAACATCAAATACGACTGGACTGCTCGGAGGCACCCTTGGTCTTCCAGGAGCAGAAGTAAGGCCTTTTGGGAATGCCAGCTGCCAAATAAAAAAAGAAAGAAAGAAAAGATAGATAGCCAACAATTAGAACCTAAGACTTGTCATTTTCAATTAAAAAAGAAAATCATTAGAGCATTGAGTGATTGTTATAGATTGTCAATTGTCAATACACATTTTAAGCACAATGCTCATAGTCATAGCTACTGAGAAACTAGGAATATGGAAGCCTAATATTGCTTAACAAGGGAAACACACGAGTTTAAAATTTGGGATGTGTTGCTATGTTGGGAGATGTTACAGGCTTACAGAGAAGGGTACTATAAAGAAAGAAGCTTACTGATCCAGGTATGTACAGTCGACGTTTCCCTCCTACTTTCATGCTCAGAATACCTTCATCAAGTCCCTGTATCACCTGTTACTCATTGGGTTGAATATCAATTAATCCTTAAACGGATTATCAAACTATTGTTTTTCAAGTTTGAACACTAACTACGTTGAAGGTGAAATTCTTAAGCTTCTAAAATGAAAACACTAAAAGCAGCATCCAAGTTTACCTGACCAGAACCCACGCGAAAAATATAAGGCTGACCTTTCTCCAGTGAACTGTAAAATTAAAAAGGGTGGAAAAAGAGCAACACATAATGAACCTTTGTTTGGGTCATATTCACATGCTCATTTTCAGCAAAGTGCATACATGTAGTCGTACATTGTAATAAGGGTTCAAAGAGAAGATCTTCAAAAGAAAATTGGAAGGTGACAAAACTGAAAAAGGAATGAACAAGTTAAAACACCAAAACATTCCAATAGTATTCGCTGTTTGTAAAATATGGCTAATTGAAGATTCTCTCGTAATAGTACATTTAGATGTTCAACATATGATAAGGCATGGTTCTCATGTATAGGCAAATAAAATTATAAAGCATTTCACTTATGCATAACATTATAACTACAAACATCATTCCACGTCTAGCAATTCATGGACTGAAGAAGATTGATAGAAATTTGTAATACCTATCAAATATTTGTCCAGATGGAACCATTGCAACGTAATTAGCAGCCACCTGTAATCACATTACATATTAAGGTATTAACAATAGAGTAGTCAGAGAGACACATGGAAATGAAGTCAGTCTCCTCATATTGAGAACCAAATCACCAGCTGACAGAGGACTTAACACTACTCCAGACTAAAGTCACTTATAAGTTTATTCAATGTTGGAAAAATGAAGATACAATCTTTACAGAAAGTAAACACTTTAGATAGTTCAGTCAGGAGGTAGTATATGCTGGAGATCCAATATTGACTAATGAAATGGCCAAAATAATGTATATAAATGAGAAACAATCCTCACTTTATAAACTAGTTTTGTAAGGTCTAATTAGGTTCAAACTCACTTTCTTACGAGTATAGAGGCCATTGTCTACGAGTTGTGGAATAAATGCAGCTGTTGTCACATGATTTTTTTTAAAAATATTTCTACCGTGATTCAAGTGTTTGAGAAAGTTATGCGGTGCCTAAAGGTTAATTTGGATGAAAAAGGAAGCAAACAAGGGCACATTGGATCTGCAGAGACATATGTTATCTTGAAGAACTTAGTAGATGGCAATCCCTTATCAGGTAATGCCATCACCAATATTGTAGAGTATTTTCTACCTAGAAGGTAAAACTAAATATATAATCGTATCATTTCCTAAGAAAAAAAGATTCAGTTGTTCCCTAGTTGCGACTTTAGTAGTTAGGCATTGATCTAGTTCAAATTTGGCATTGGCTGCTGTATTGAAAGGTCAAGACATCAGACAAGCATACAAGAGAAATTGACCTAGTCAGGAGACTTTACACACCTGAAATCCAACTGGTGGACTAGGGCCTTGTCCAACTTTAATGTCCTTGTATTGCAAACCTGATGCAGTAGTTACCATAGGCACCTTCATTGCATAAAGTATTCAAAGACAGCATCAGACATTAACTAGGATATTAAAGTGTAAGTAAAGTAAAATCCACTGGCCTATCATTTATTAATGGTCAAAGGTTCTATCACATTGAACAATTATTTCTATCAATAACAAACTCTTCATTGCATAGCACAAAATTAAACATCATACAGTATCTTACGTAGAACTACAAGAATCTATTAGAAACTGAGCAAGTATGTGAATTCTTAAATTTCAGCAATCGAGTAAAGCTTAACTGCCAGGGAATTTTGGGTCACAAAACTAGAAATGAAGGGACAGCATATAGTAAGCCATATGATCTAATTCGACTCGCAACAATTTGTTAAGAACCTTATCATGGAGGTCGTTTCATCAAACGTTGCAAGAGTAGTGGGGGTTGTCAAATCTCTAACCACTTTTTCAGGCAAGAAAACTCAACTAAATTCTCACATCTTTGGCAATATATTGTTGGGATACAAACAAGTCTCATATTAATAAAATAAGAGAAAAAATAACAACTTATAAAACATACTCATACTTCAATGTAAGAGAAGTCTTTTAGGTAATGACCAAAAGTAAAATCGTGAGAGCTTAGTCCCAAAGTGGATAATATCTCATCATTGTGGAGTATGCTTGTGTAATAACCTTATAAAAATAACCCTCATAAAATATGCCCACAAATATCATAAAATAACCCCATTATATATATATATATATATATATATAAATGGTGTTTCAAGTTCCCAAGATTTCACATATTCACCTTACAGAAGCCTGTTGTCTAACATTACTGTATAGATGTGATGCAACCACATGAATGAGAATGGTTTATCTGGAATGTACAAAAATAACCGGCAATGTTTAAAACATAGAAAGGAGGCAAAGAAGGGTACTATGTAATCTCACCATACATTTTCAAGCTCTTTCTGACAAGTGTCGTCACAAAGTTTTGGCTTTTCCTCTGGGGGCAAACCAGCTCCAGTTGCATCCAATGAACCGATGAAGAGGCCTGAGACTCCTAAAGCCAACCCAAGAAAGTCTCTACGTGAATTGTTGTTAAACATAGAAGGGCATTCACTTTCTGAGGATTTAACTTTAACAACTATTCTTCGAAGTTTGTCCACCAAAATGCTTTGAGGAGGAGTAAAAGAGGGTCTTCTACCACAAGTTGAACCTACCAAAATGGAAACTAAGTTCAGAAAAAAACCGTGGCAAACCGATCAACAGTGCCATCGAAGAAGGGAAGTTGGGCCAACCCCAACACCATGCAGAAACAAACTGAATTCACATCTTCCTATTAATGATATATAACACAACATAGCTTATTTCAAGTACATGTCATGTTCATGCTAGAAAAAGGCTATAACTGGTTGAAGGGATAGAGAATAATGCATTGTTGAGATTGGGAGCAAAACAGGAAAATGCAAAAGTTATTTGAGTTGTGGTTTGAAGGAAATTTGAGAGAGCGAAGTGAATGGGTTACCAAGTGGGAGGAGCAGAGAGGAGGCCATGGTAGGCATATCCAAGGATGTCATGCGATGATGTCCGCAAAATGGATAAACTGAAACATGATTTGGAGCTGGAGCATACTGTTTCTACCTAACACGTGGCAGATTGAAATCAAACTTGATATAGCATTTTTTATATTATATAACTATAATTTGCTAATTTACTTGAACTAAGAAAATTTCATATAGTTCATTTATAAATTATATTATAATCAAAGTTTATAATATATTAATATATATATATTTTTTAACTATAATTATCGATAATGAATTTTTATTAGAGAATTTAAATTGAAGCTCTTCTTCTAATGTATTTTTTTCGTACACAAAATTTAAGGAAGTTGAATGCAGGTGACTGAAAGTTGGTAATGAATATATTTGAATATCTAAGATTATTTTAAAATAAATTGGAGCAGATTACATGGACTCGACGTGCAAAATGGGCTGGTTCAGGTGAGTGGCCCAATTTGTGACCGAGGAGAATAAACCCTCATTTCGGCCCATTGCAAATGGTGGGTGCGAGCATCGAAGGAGTGAGGAGGAGCAAGTGCAAGGTTGAGGAGTGCTCCCAAAATCGCAATATCTTCAATTCTATCTGCAACTGCGAACCTTCTCGACGATCACAAAAATGGCGACGAAACTTCAGATATTTACGGGATTACCCCCCGCGCCATTTCAGTCTTCTTCCTCCTCCACTCTCTGCGTAGTCAAGAAGCCTCTCACTACTTCCTTCTTCGGCGCTGGAGGAGGTATTCTCACTTTCTTTCCGCTATTTTTCAATCGTTAATTTTCATTCAATTCACTTCAAAGCTGCAATTAGCTCGTGGTTAGTTTAATTAACCTTGTTTCGAACTTCTTATCGTTGCAGCGGAAGTTCTGAAGGGGATGAGGACTGCGAAGCCTGTGCGCGGCGGAGGTGCTCTCGGTGCTCGCATGAACCTCTTCGACAGGTTCGCCAGAGTTGTGAAGGTGAAGAGAAGCACCGAAACGACAGTCGTTTAGTTATTCATGGTTTAGCTTTAATATTCTCATTGTTGTTGTCATTATGGTTAGATTTTGTCATCTTAGTAATGCAGTCATACGCGAACGCTGTCATAAGTTCATTTGAAGATCCGGAGAAAATATTGGAGCAAGCTGTGCTTGAAATGAACGACGACTTGACTAAAATGCGTCAAGCTACTGCACAAGTTAGTTACGGTTTTTTATCGCTTTGTTCTCGACTTTTTTATTGAAGAAAACATCATTGTATTTGTTCTTTCATTGCGTTACTTAAATAATTGATTATTCTTGTAATTGTTTTGCTTGTTTGAGTTTGTATGATGGTACACGAATTTTTTTTATCTGTAAAGTGTAAATTGAGTTCAAAGAAGATCGTTAGGTTTCCCTATTTATGCTATCTCTTGCTTAACCTTTCTTTTTAATTGAACTTTTTTTTTCCTTTCTTTCTTGAGGTATTGGCATCTCAAAAGCGGTTGGAAAACAAATACAAGGCTGCTCAACAAGCTTCTGAAGAGTGGTAATGTATGAAAGAGTTGTTATCTTAGTTTGGTGATGACGAATGGTATATAAATATGCTTTTGTGCTTTTTATCTGATATAGGTACCGTAAAGCACAACTTGCTCTTCAGAAAGGGGAAGAAGATCTTGCTCGTGAAGCACTTAAGAGGCGTAAATCTTATGCGGTACATTCTCATTATGTTGAACGGTTTTATGCTAAATTTTGTCTGAATTTCTTCATTATGTTTTAAAGAAGGTTTTCTACTTCTGTGGAGTGTAAATCGGTCAAATGAAGAAGTTGATTTTTCTTTTTTATTTTTATTTTCCTTTCACGTTTGTTAAATGATTTAGCGCTTTGTCCTCCTCTCATTTGTTAATAATATTGAATCATTTGAAACCTGCAATTGTTATTTTCCCATACCTACGAGCATATATAAAAGCTCCTTATATGCTTTTAATATGTTACAGGATAATGCCAGTTCTTTGAAAGCTCAACTTGATCAACAAAAGTCTGTTGTTGAGAATCTTGTTTCGAATACACGGGTAAGCTAAATCTTGTTCTTTCTCAGTATGTCAAAACACTGAATTGTTATGTGTTTAAAGTGTTAGAAAACACCAACTTTTAAGCACTGGGCTGAATAACCAAGCCAACTCATTTTTAATGTAGTGACATTGTGACATAGGAGTCACTAATGTCAAGAAAGCCTAAGCAGATGATCAATGAAGCTTAGCATTTTGAATTAGTTTGACTCTTGATTATGTTATGGCTGTATATCCCTAAAACCTTGCTAAATCATATTTGTATCTTTGGTTCTTAGAAAGAGTAAACTGTGTATGTGTTGCTAGAGTTCAGTTTATAGTTTTTTTTCTAGGCATGTTTTGCTGCCACTAGGAGATATACTTTGCTTGGTCTACATTATTTAGCACGAGGTTGTATCTTTAATGCCCGAGTTTTCTTTTTGGGTTTGGTCCTTTTGGACTTTAGTCGTAGTAGAATCTAGGAAATTTCAATCCTTTAAGGTTTGGATTTTCATTCTCCATCCATTTACTTGTAGGATATATTAACGAACATCTATTTATACATTGTGATGCACTTTTTAGATGACAGTGGAGAAATCAAATTGTAGCTGTGATACCTAATGAGGGAACTGTAGGTGTTACCCTCCTCCATGTTTTATTTAGTTTTCCACTTTACCCACTGCTGTGACCTATTTACCTCAGCCTGTCACATTAAAATCTTCTATTTTGGAAGTCTCTTCCTTCCTTGACCTAACCCTAGAATCCATGAAACACGTCCCACTGCTTGTGCTGTTCATATTGTAATTTGTAAAGGCATTTATTTGCCCATATTACCTCCTGATTAACTGCAAATGCTTGCTCCTTTAAAATACATAAAAAAAGGGCTTAAATATATTTGTAGTCCCTATAAAATGGATGAGTTTTAATATTAGTTCTTGTAAATTTTCACTTTATTTTTTATTCCTTTAAAATTTGAAATCATTGTTTATAGTCCCTTTTAAAATGAGCAAATTTTGATTTTGATCCATGTAAAATATTTTTCTATGATTTTCATATCTCTAAAATCTAAAATCACTATTTTTAGTTCTTAACGATCATTTTAAAGTGGATAAATAACATTACTTTTAGGATCTATACAAATAGGGATAGTCACTTAATGTTATAATAAACACGTAAGGAGCTAATGAGGATAATATAATAGTAGGGACTAAATATAGTGATTTCAAATTTTAAAGGGATAAAAAAAAATTATTGACCAAAATCAAAATATGCTCATTTTACAACGACTAAAAGTATATTTAAGCCTAAAATAAATAAGGCTACAATCCATCAGCTCTCTCCCTTTGCCATTTGAGAAAATCTACCATTAACCTTTTGACTTGTGAGCTTCTACTGTTTTACAGCTGATCTCCTATAGCTTCTGCTGAGCCTGCCTTTTTTACCTAAGTTATAAATCTAAAATTATCTCGAGAATAGAATAACAGGAAAAAAGGAAGTGGCAAAAAGAATTTAGCTAAACTAATTTCTGGCTTGTAGGCTAAATCCTATAGTGTTGACAGGGAGAATGCATTTAAAATTTGAGATGGAAAGTTGTCTTCTTCAGGAAGTGGACACAGCACACTACACTTTTTCTAGGCTTTTTTTTAGGAAGTACCTCCTAGAAATGATTGGAATCAGTTTAACAATTTTAGTTCAATACTCTACTGCTGGAATTTTTTTATTACAAGTAACATATTCAGAGCTATAAATTGTTTATTTTTGTAGCTGTTGGAGAGTAAGATACAGGAGGCAAGGTCGAAGAAGGATACTCTGAAAGCAAGGGCTCAATCAGCAAAGTTTGTCTTTCAAATCTTTTACGCATTGACTTCAGCCTTTTGTTCTCTGGCTTTTTTAGTAATGGTTGCTGGATGATGTTCCTTCAGGACTGCAACCAAGGTGAGTGAGATGCTGGGAAATGTCAATACAAGTAGTGCTCTTTCAGCTTTTGAAAAGATGGAAGAGAAAGGTAAGAAAATTCATTGAGTCTACTCTTTGGCTGTTTTTTGGATACATAACTAATACTTACATATAACCTAGCCAATACTTAATGTGTACCCTTAACCACATACAAACATAATTTCATTGTCATGCATGCCTCTGAAATATTTGAGGTTCTGCACTTTCTATCCTGCTTCCCTTTCTTTTTATCTTTTTGCAAACTGATATGTTGAATTATATATGCATAAATTATGAAAATCAGCGAAAATATCTGATATGTTGAAGCTTCTAGTGGTTTGAAATCTTTTTTGTTTGAATGTATTTTGATTTTGACAAATGACAATATTGCAGTCATGACATATCGTGATTAAGCCAAACCTATACTTCGTGCATTATGGGCATTTTGACCATATGCATGCTCATTCTTAATTTTTCTAATTTATCCTAATTAGTATAATTGTGTTCAAAATCTATTATAACGAGGGAAATTATGATTATATGAAACTTGGCATATGTTAACATGATATGACATGATTAAAAACTACAATGGTATAACCTAATCAATGGAATAAAAAATGCGAGAACAGTTGCTAGAGTTGTTTATGTTCTTTAATTATTGTATATGAAATCATTTTCTTTGTAATTATTTTCTTTTATCTCGACAGTGATGGCAATGGAGTCCCAAGCTGAAGCTCTTGGCCAGTTGACAACTGATGATCTTGAAGGAAAGGTAATAATTGTTTGTATACCATGTCACTTCGAGTTTATATGTATGCATTATATGCTTGGCTTGGAAATGAATGAATACAATTTAAAGGAAAAAAACTAGATATGTTTCATGTTAATTTATTCTTATGGGAAACAGGATCAAAGGACCCAAACCTAAGTTTATTGCATTTTAGGAAAAGTAAATGTTCAAAATAGTGGAAATTGAAATCTTCTGAAATATTATTATTATAGCTAAACTTGCTACATTTCTCACCGTGTCATTGAATAAATTGCCTGCGAATGGGATGTAAAAGACAGTCATGCTTTCTATTCAATAATAATGTAGTTTTCTTTGCCTATTTCACTTGTCGGAAACTGTAGAAATCATTTCCCTGGAAGCTATTTAGTAAAGAAATAAACCCTGAGCCCAGTGATTATGTAGCAGAATCTTTATGTAAATAATTTGAATACAGCTCAGAACCACAAAAAGCACTGGAACAAGCCTAAGTTCCAAATATATATTGGGACTCGTTACATAAATCCTTGGCTTGTTCAAATGGATTCTTCTATCGTCAGTCTTATGGGCTGCGTCATCCATTATCTCATCATGCATTAGAACTGAGGAGTTTGGAGTGAAAAAAGCTGTTAAAGTCATGCCTTCATTACATAATAATTGTTTGTGAAATTCATGGATTTCATTCTCCTGCACCCATCAATTATTGAATTTTGCAGTTTGCGTTGCTTGAGAGTTCATCAGTTGATGACGACCTTGCAAATTTGAAAAAGGAATTATCTGGTGGCTCAAAGGTATGCTTCAAATGGAAAATAGTTTATATGTTTGGGTAATATTGGGATGGAATTTTATTTAGTAACTGCCTCGCAAATTGTTTTCTTTCCCTGTTATGTGACCAGAAGTTGGTGATCATGTGAAAGAACGGAAAATAATTTTTTTTTTCCAAGAATATATTTAAAGAAAGTAAATTTGACGAGAGGAAGTTTCGTATGATACTACCCAAGTAAATTATTTGACTAATTCTACTCGAACTATTTTTCCAAAAAGCATTATATTTTCTACATGCCTACATATCATTTTTTCAATTTAATTGTTTGACTGTTTGCTTCAAGCAGAAGGGAGACCTTCCTCCTGGAAGAAGTAGCACCACTAGCACCAACACTGGAATTCCATTTCGAGATGCTGAGATTGAATTGGAACTTGATCAATTGAGGCAAAGAGCAAAGGAATTTTGAAGCATGGAATCTTTTTTTTTTCTTTTTTTTCCCCTTCGTATTTTAAGCTTGAATTTAGTTTCTGATATCAACGTTGTACAGCTAAAGGTCAATCACGATATTGTTCGACTACAGACCTAAAATTGGTTGGAAAAATGAACTGATTAGCTTCAAGCTCATGTATGATGTAGCTCATGGTATTTGCAAATACCTTAAATGTGATGATATTGTAATACTATATAGTGTGTACGATCAGCAGTCCTTTTTTTTTTTTCTTTTTAATTTTATTAGAATGCATTTTCCCACAAATTCCTTTATCGACAGTTTTCACAAGGAGTTATGTTATATTAAATCTCGTAGCATGTCCACACCTTCAATAAGGATCAAGTTTAGTAAGACCCCGAGTTCATAAATCGGAAGGGTATCGCTTTTCGCCTTTGTATAGCTTAGGTATGGTAGTTATATTTAATTCTGGACAGGCATCACCTTGCACATATCTCATTCCAAGTTGGGCATATACTACCATGTAAATAATGATAAATGAGCGGTGTGCATATTTTTGTGATTTCTTTACACCTGAAGCTGTAACCCTCCATGAATATGGAAATGCAGTACATGAATCAAGGACACACTGATAGTGTCTAGCTGCTGATAAAAGTGAGGCCAATTCTGCCTTTTAGTTTTACTAAGGAAAAACTAGAAGCAAATGTGAACGGAAGAAACAGGCATATGACCTATATGACTATATGAGCATTCAAACTATGAACTAACACTCCCATGGACCAAAGGAAAAAAAATAAGACTAAGAACTAATATATTCAATGTGATGTGTTATAATAATAGAAAATGAATCACGACAAAACTTGTTTCGGTCAATTAAAATTAACTTTGACCCTCCATACTTATAGTCTCTATATACGACCCATTATAAATTAATTAACCTAAAGCAAATCGATTATAACACAACATTATATAAAAAATTAGAATACGGTGAGATAATTCATTCGTGTAACATAAATTTGAATGATAATCACTTATGCATAACTACTTTTTTTTTTTCTCTTAATCATAGTATTTCTAAAAAGAATTAAAGATTAAAATGTTGCTTTTTATACCAATTACCAAAATTAGGACAAAATTAATTACAAAACAAAGTGAGACTTGTACAAACAATTTGGCGCTGCACTAGGATGCGAAATATAGTGTACAGTGGGAAGTGAAGATTGAATTTACGGATAGCTTCTTGTTTTTTTCAAAGCTGTTTTTAAATAACCGTAATATTATTTATATAACTTCTTTGCATTTCTCATATAAAGCTTCTGTTAATATTTCATCAGTTTTATCTGTTATGTTTTTTTCTTAATCGGTTTTTGATACTGTAATTATCACAACATTCTAATTGTTTTTTCTCTCATATAATTATCTTCTTTGATTCTTCCAAACATCACAGTCTTTTCCATTTGATCTCCCATTTTTGAGTCCCCTAAAAAATTATTAATAGACCACAAGACATATAAAACATTGTTTTTAAAATTACATACTAATTTTTTTTTAAAAAAAATAAAAATATTTTGAAGTATTAAAACACAGTTCAACCTTTTTTTAAGGCGAATTCCATTAATTTAATTATTAAAATAATTACATAAGAAAGTTTAGGATTCCGGTTGTGATGGAGAATGTCTGTGTGCGCCTGCATAGTTTTTGCGCTATTTCTCCCATTGGATTCCGCTAGCCCTGCTAACACGCCTTTCATTTTTTATTTTTTTATTTTTTAGGTGCGTTTGACTTTCATTCTTTTCCTACTGTATATATTTTTCTTCTCCTTATTAGAAATAAAGTAAAAGTGGGTAGTTTAGTTAGAATTTGGGACTGGAAGTAAGTCCCAACTTGTAATTAAATTCCTCCGTCAAAAACTACGTGTCATATTAGGGTAGGTGTAATATTTTATCCTTTCATTTTTCTCATGCATAAGCATAATCAAATATGACTACTTAGTCAATTCAACATTTCCAATCTAGGTTTCAAACATAATATATGTATTTACACCTTTGGCTTTTCAACACTACTAACCAAAACTACCCTAGGATTCGCCTTCATCACAAGGACACATCCGTAAAATCAACACATTCATATTTAATTTGATTTGAATTGTAGGGTAAATAATATATTATATTATTTGATATTGCTTGGCAAGTTCCGAAAATCTTGGTCAACACGTATTACGTTGAAGGCAATGTCCACCGAAAAAGGTGATTAATTGAGTCCAAAAAGACAAGCACAAATTTAACACACTTACTTGTTCCCCTTGTCTCACTATAAAATGCCACCGCTTCCTGCTCCCCTACAACCACAACCTCATTTGAGATAGTGAGACACAACAACCCTCCTTTTCTAGCTTTCACCAAATTAAGCTTCCAACTATGAATTCCTTAAAGCCATGCACCCTTTTGAATTTTATCTTAGTTGTTATCTTCCTTGCAATTTTTACTAGCCAAAGTAGGGTGGAAGCTAGGGTTTTGTCACACTCTGAGGAGTTTGCATTTGCAAGAGCTAATGACCTCCAAACATATACTTCCTCAGCCTATGAAGAAGCCAAGAAAACCATGGCTTTTTGGATGCAGCGTTTGGCTTCTGGACCAAGCCCTAAAGGCCCTGGTCATTGATATCTCACCCACTTTCATATATGGCTATACAATATCACTTTCGTCAACTTTTCTTCAAGGGTTTCTTTAGGTCAAGATATATGTATGGTCTATAAATAAAGGATGTAGGTAGATAACATGCACTTGGATCTAACAACTGTAAAGATCCATGTATACTTCAAATAGGGATTCTTTAATTTATATACGTCATTTTTTATAATTCATTAGTCTCTATGTATCTCTTTTCAGCTGCTTTTATGGAATTAATGAATATATCGGTTATGCAAATGATTGTCAATTTGTCTAGATATGATGGCCAATTTATGTTTTAACTCCTGTCTTAAGAATAATATTGATGAATATGTAGAAATATGTTGTTACTTCGTTGCTTGTGAATTAATATCTACACACTACACATATGGATATGGTGGTGTGGATAAAATTAGCCTACAGTGTTTTCGGCTACGTGTCAACCGAAAATAATGTTTTGAATTTGTCAACTTTCACTGTCTGCACAATTATATTCAACTAAAAACCATTGAGTCTACTTGTATATATTTATCGTGACAATTAATGACAAAAGTCATCAACAAACTCCTTGTTCTTTGATCACCTCATCAACTACAACATCGACTTATTATCAAGTTCCAAACGAACAATTCAACTGTAAATTAATAAATGAATAAATAAATAAAAGGGAGACAAATTTTCTACTTTTTGATATAACAAATTAAAAAGGCTACATACACTATATTACCCAAAATAAAAGCCATACAGACGAATGAGTCTCACACTACACCTATGTTTGAGCTATTATGTCCACGAACCCTCTTAAAAGGTTCATATTAATTCTGCCACAAAAAAAAAAAAAGAACACATGATGCTCATACAAGACACGAGTGAATTAAAGGGTAATTGGTTTGGTAGGTGATCGTATTAACTACTTTTCGTCATCATATGAACTACTTTTCGTACACATATATTAGTTTAAAGGTTAAAATATATCCCCCTCTTTTTATTTACAGTATCCAAGATCCTTCTATATTTAAAAATTAAACTTAGTTATTAAATTAAAAAAAAAAGTTTAATACTGACCTTCCGAACAATTTTTATTAAGCTTGTTAATGTCAATTTGAATTAAAAGAAAATATGAACATTTTTTAAATAAAAATAAATAGTCAAATTGATCTTTATATATATATA